CATTTTCCATCAGTGCCATTCTCAGACCCTGCTAGAGACAATACGCCTTTCTGAAGTGCCGAGTTTCCTCTAGTGTGACATTCCCCAGTAATGGGATGTATACACTATCACCATTGTGCTCTTTCCCTTAGATCTCATTTCTCCTATTGGACCACAAGGAACCTGCTACAACTACTAGAGAGCATCTCTGCTGTAGTCTTTGTTGCTCACTCTCATCTTTAAAGACATTATTTTCCTTGCTTTGTGGTGTGTGGCTAATAAAGAGCTTGGGGGGGGGAGAGAGAGAGAGAGAGAGAGAGAGAGAGAGAGAGAGAGAGAGAGAGAGAGAGAGAGAGAGAGAGAGAGAGGAGAGGAGAGGAGAGGAGAGGAGAGGAGAGGAGAGGAGAGGAGAGGAGAGGAGAGGAGAGGAGAGGAGAGAGAGGAGAAAGGAGAGGGAGAGGGAAAGAGAGGAGGGAGGGGAAAGAGGAGAAGGAGAGGGGAGGAAGAGAGAGAGGAGAGAGAGGAGAGAAAGAGGAAAGAGGGGGAGAGAGGGAGAAGAGAGACAGAGTGAGGCAGAGAGACAGATCAAAAGATACAAAGAGACAGAGATAAAAAGAACAGATCAGACACAGACAGAAGGACAGAGAGAGAGAGAGCTAGAGACAAAGACAGAAAGAGAGAGAGATTTGTTCTATGATTTCCATTGATGTAGGAAGCCAGCCAATGAAGAAACTCTCCACCAATTATTGTCCTGGACTTCTGATTGGTGAGCATTCATCTTATCTTATCTAGACCAGACCTACCTTGCAACTTCCCAAGCATCTTCAAGCCATACCAAAGTACCAGACCTCCTCACAATGTCCCACCCCACCACCACCACCAAACTCTCCACCTAGCTCTCCACTTATCTAAGGAAATATGCAAATCAACACCACACAGTAAGGACAATGTCTATCAATTGCCCAGAGGCTTCATTGTGACTTGTCAATCCTAGAAATTCCTCTGTGGCTGGCTGTCCTTATTAGAATGTAAGCTTCTTGAGGGCAGAAATTGCCTTTTGTATTTGTGTCCCCTCAACTTGTCAAATGCCATTTCGTTCTTTCCTTACTTCTTTCTTTTTCTTTCTTTCTTTCTTCCTCCATTCCTTCCTTCCTTTCTTATTTCTTTCTTTCAATAATTCATTTATTCATTGCTCTGCCCTCTTCATAAAATCAGTGAAGTTGTCTACCTCTGTTAACCCTCTAAATGAACTGTATTTCCCCCCAAATTACCAAAAGCCATGCCCAGTGAAAACTACAGAATCAATCCCCATCTGGCTGAGCCCCAGGTGACTGACGGGTTAGATTTCAGCACCAGACAGGAGTTAAGTACTTTGGGAAGGGGGTTCTTTTATTTCAGGTACCAGGGGGCCTGTTAGTGTTCAGCAGTGGTAAAGCCCTTGGTGACTTCATAGGAGGAGAGGCAATGTGGTGGAAAGGATAGAGGGCTTGGGAAGACCTGGGCTCAGGTTCAGCCTTACCTACTTGCTAAATGTTGGAACTCAGAATTGGCCAGTCTTGTTATACTGTCCTCTACTCTGCACACTCTGAGCTCCAGATACCCTGGCTTCCTTGCAGGATGCCTCATCATCTCCTGCCTGCTTGCCTTTGCCCTGTCTGCCCTCACCTGCACCAGCCCCTCAGCTCTACCTCTTAGATTCCTTCCTTTCCTTCAAGACTCACCTCAAATCTTGCCTTCTGTAGGAGGTTTTCTTCCCCCTCCCCCAGCCCCAGCGTCTTCCCTCTCCTCCACCTGGATCTTGCATGCACAGTTGTTTAAATGTGGCATCATTAGAATGATGGCTCAAGGCTGAGAGAGTGTTTGCCTTTCTTTGTATCCTTAGTATACAGGAAGTGTTTAATAAATTCACTTACTCTCTTGAGCCTCAATTTCCTCATCTGTAAAATGGGACTAAAGAATAATAATAGTATCCACCCACCCCCTGGGTTGTTGGGAGACTCAACTAAGATTTTACATATATGTGTATGCATGTATATACACATTCTGCCAATGCATATATATGCATAGAACTATATGTGTTTATATATATATATATATATACATATATGTATGTATAATCCACTGATGCATAAATAAGTATAGACCTATGTGTGTATATGTATGTGTGTATATATACACATATATGTATGTATAACCGGCTGATGCATAGATAAGTATAGACCTATATGTGTATATGTAGTATGTGTAGTATATATATTTATGCATACATACATGCATGCATGCACACATACATACATATTATGTATATGCATTGGCAGAGAGAGTTTGCTCAGAGGGAGTTGCCTAGACCAGTGAAGTCACAGATCCAGCCCCCTTTTCCTATTCTGGTAATTCTCTGTGCATGTTGTCTCCCCCAATAGAATTTAAGTTCCTTAAGGGCAGGAAGTGTTTTGTTTTTGTCTTTTTGGCCACACTGCCTGGCACATTAGTAGGTATGTAATAAATGCTGATTACTGCCTTCTAACAAAAGTCTAGTCCCAGTGAGGGCTTAGGGGGAAATTATTGTCATTTGAGTGTCCCTATTAATTGGGTCTCAGTTAATGAAGGGTTAACAAAAAGTGATAGACACTGGGGGAAAAGAAGGTAGACAAGAGCTTGTTTAGCTTCAGACAAGAGCTTGAGAGCAGAGAGCCACTCACTGAGCCTATGTCTTCTCACGTTCTTAAACTCTTCCTGAAGTGGCATGATTTTTAGAGCCGTCATCATCACAGTCATACTGCTCTGAAAGCTCTCTAGTTTATCTGTGACTTCAGAAAGTGTTGCACCCAGAAGTCGAGAAAATACCCCATCGATGCTGGCTAATTGCTAAGTGCACAGTTGACCCCATGTGTAGCTGGGAAATACCGACTGTGCATTTCCTTTGAGATCGAATGAGAGTTGCGGGTTTGCTCTTGTTAAAGAGAGCACCCAGCCCCAAGGCACACTGAAGAGACCCTGTCAGGAACTCTAATGCCAGTGTCCCCTGACCTCTGACTGCCAGAAGTCCTACGAGCTCTGTGGCATGCCCCCATCAAAATAACGGAGGATTCGGAATGTGCTGTGAAGGATGCAGCTGTCACACAGGGAAACAGACTCAAACATAAAGAAGTACCCAGAAATGCCACAACCCAAGAGCTAACCTGTTATGCCAAGAAACAGTATTGCCTGGCTCTCTAGCTCTCTCTCCTTCCAGCTCACATGGAAATAGGCTGGAAGAACCTAAACAGCGTCCTAGAAATCTGGGAGCTCCCCGCAGCGACAGAGGGCGGTCCCCTCCTTGGGGATATTAGCAGCAGCTGCTACCTTCATGCCCTACAGATCCACTGTCTTGCTTCTGTGATTTTTTGCAACAGCAAGGATTTGCTGTATGATGCCGAGGGGGAACAGAGATGCACTTTTGTTCATTTGTTTGTAAAAACCTATAACCTAACACCACATATATTGTCAGATTTGACTGATGTGTTGATTGCTTTGGATAAACTGCTTTTTTTCTACTTTTTTATTCTTTGTATTAAGAAATGGCTCTCTGGTTGGGGGAGGGGGAATATATTAGGAAATTAAATGACATAAAACAAAAAATCAGTAAAATATTTTAAAATTTAAAAACAGCCCACAACACAATGCTTTGTCTAGGGTATCTGGGCTGGAGTGGGGAAAATGTCACAGCACTGTCTCCTCTCACCCCTCGCCATGTCCCTAACCTCCTCTTCAGGAAGAGAATCCTTTCTTTTATCCTGCAACCAGGGTAGGAGAGCCAGCTTTGCCAGAGATCATGAAAGAAGCACTGGGAAAAGATATACAACTCTGGACTCCTGGTTTTCTGGGCCTCCATTCAGGACTCATCCTGGCGGCTTTCCAACAAGGTCCTGGATCAGCATTAAATGCTTCCATTTGGGATAGCAGGGCATCTCGCTGGCATTGGTATATAATGCAGACCCTGGGCAGGCAGGGATCTTAGACTTTAAACAAAAAATGAGTGTCCATAAAAGAGAGATGGAGAGTAACCCATATGATCTTGGGTATTTGTGCCACCAGAAGATACAAATAATTATAGTGAAGATGTAGCTGAGGCAGCTAGATGGCCTGAGTGATGGAACCTTGGACTTAGAATCAGGAAAGCCTGAGCTGGAATCCTACCTCATACACAAGCTGTGTGGCTTTGGGCAAATCACCGACATTCTCTGATCTTATGTTTCCTCATTTTTAAAATTGGAATAGTAACAGTACCTACCCAGCAGAGTTGTGAGGAGGATCAAATAAGATATGGAAAGTGATCTGTAAACCTTACAAATGTGACTTCAATCAACCAATTCTTGATTCATTGATTACTATATGTAAAGTGATTTGTAGTCTTTAGAGCGCTATATAAAAGTTATACATACAGATAACATGTAATATATATATACACGTACATATATACATATGTTTGTGTGTGTATATATATATATATATATATATATGTAAATTTTTCAGTATGGGAAAAGTAGCATGGTTTCTTAAAGCCCAGCACTACATCCATATTGCTTCCAGAGTGTAGTTTGTATAGATGTTACTATCTCCATTTTACAGATGAGGCAACTAAAGCACAGAGAAATTATTTAAAATATCCAAGATCACTTGTCTAATAAGTAGAAGAGAAAAAATCAGGATTTGAACTCAGGTCTTCTGACTTCAATTATAGTGGTCTTTTCATTGTGCTAAATTATATAGACTTTGTTAGGGTGTTTTGGGCTCATCTATCCCTAGGACCTTAGTTATGGAGCTGTAAGGGACCTTAGGGAGTATCTAGTTCAATGCTCCCATTTTATAGATGAGGAAACTTAAGACGCAGACTGGAAAATAACTGGTCTGTGGTCGTACAGGTAGTCAGTGGCAGTGCCAGGATTTGAACTTAGGTCCTTTGGTTCAGGTGGTGACTCATCCCTCGAAAAGAGCCCTGCAGAGACCCTCGTATTAATGAGACCATCTCCAACTTTCTTAAGGGCCGATGACTGTTTCTGTGCCTCCCGGAAACTGGACGCTGTGGCCACCGAGGCGAAATTCAAGCAGGACCTGGGCTTCCGGATGCTGAATTGTGGGCGGACGGACCTTGTAAAGCAGGCTGCATCTCTGCTGGGACCCGATGGAATCAACACGATGAGTGAGCAGGTAGAGTGGTGTCCGAGTGTGGAAGCCCAGGCTTCTGCCTGCCATAGAACCCGCATACTTATACATATATGCATCTACGCACATATGCATATGTGTACATACGTATATGCACACATATGCATGCATACAAATACATATATAGCTACATATGCATGCATTCATATACATGATGTACATGCATGCATATATATGTGCACACATAGATGTACGCCTATAGATATGCACATATCAGATACGTGCATATATAGACACATACATATATACAGGCATACACCTAGACATACACACATACATATATAGACACATACAAACACATATGAACATGTATAGATACATGCACATGTGTGCAGACATGTAGACACACGTACCTATATAGACTCATACATAAACACACATGCAGGCACATAGACATGCATATACAAGGCACATGTGTAAATTGCACCGACACATATATAGGCATATGTGCACACATATATACACAAACATATGTAGGCACACATAGAAATGCACACAATGAGACGTGTGCAGCGCATAGACACGTACATGCACACATGCCAACAAATACAGATACACACATGCAGACACACAGAGACACATCTACACATGCACACATATATAGACTCACATAGACATGCATACACACGCACAGAGGCACACACATGCACACAGACAGCATTTCAGCTCACTTAAAAGACAAGCCTTGGATCAATCCACTTCCATCCTTGTAGTGATGCCTGGGTTGTCTGAGGACCCTCCACTGTCTCCCACAAAGCAGGATACAGGCAGGGGATTCCCCAGGTTGCACGGGGTGCTTGTGGCATCAGAGGAGCACAATGGGAATGGCTTCCGCTCAGGTCTCTCCTCCACATCTGGGGTCTCACCGAAGTCTCATAACAACCTGAGGAGTCAGTCGCTTTTGGTGTGTTGTTTGTTGGGTTGTTTTCTGGCCCAGACTTGGCATTTCATTAGCACAAGGTGCTCCCTCTCCCAGGGCAGACCAGTGCCTTTTCTGCACCTTCAGGCACATCTCAGAGAGCTGCCCAGGGCAGTAAAAGGCACAAGGTCACTGCCAGCCAGTTACAGAGGTGGGACCTGAACCTTTCCAACTCTGAGATCAATCCTTCTTTTCACATGACACAATGCAAATACTATTATTCTCCCTTTATAGTTGAAGAAAGTGTTAGGAGGTGAATCCAGTGCCTAGATCCAAGCCCAGATAGGGAAAGGAACTGAACTTGGGATTTCATTGGTACATGAGGAAAACCTCTTTACTAACAAGTTGGTCCAGTGCAGATTCTAGGCTTGGAAAGAGGCCTAGAGCTTTGACAGGTTAAGGGACCACCATAAGGTCCCACAGCTAATCCATGGCAGAGGTGAGATTTGAACTCATATCTCCCTGACATCAAAGCTGGCTCTCTGTACCTTATAGTCTTAGAGAGTTGTCCGGGACCTGAGAGGTTAAATTCCTTTCCCAGGGTCACATAACCTGTATGTTTCAGAGGTGGGACTTGAACCCAAGTCTTCCTGATTCTGAGCTAGCTCACTATCCATTGTGCACACCATTTATGCTTAATAAATGCTAGTTTATTGATTGATTGATCTAATCCCCTTTAACTGGTAAGAGATTAATCTTCCTTTTCAGGGATCTAAAATATTGAATCAAAAGAATCCTGCTTCATATCTATGACAGAAAGCTGTTATTCATTGGAAAATACATTTTTGTGCTGGTCAGAAGTGAAGCAGAGGAAGGTTGGGCCCTTCCACTGCCCTCATCCCTCTTAAACAGAGAGAATGTTTCACCTGTTAACTACGACTTTGCAAGTGATCGTAAAGCTGAGGAAGTGGCTATAGGGTATCAGTGATTAGTTATGACATTACCAAGGAGAGTGGAGAGCCAAGGTTACTTCCTAACATTCCCATCATTGGTAGGTTGATGGTACCCATCATCATATCTGCCATATTAGAAAACACAAGGTGATCCAGTAGATGAGACAGGTTAGCACCATGGATAGTTCCCTGACTTGAGTCAGAGGTTCAGCTCTTAGCTTGGCAACTTACTGTTTGTGTGAGCTTGAGTAAGTAAATCCTCTGGGCCTTAGTTTCCTCATTTATAAAATGAGAGCAATTGGATGAGAGTATGTCTAGGTAGCATAGTGTATAGAGTGCTGGGCTTGGAGTCGGATACCCTGAGTTCAAATCCCACCTCAGAAAATTGCTACTTGTATCATCCTGGTCAGGTCTGCCTCAGTTTCCTCATCTGTGAAAGAAGGATAAAAATAACCCCCACTTCACAGGGTTGTGTGAGGCCCAAATGAGATAAGGTATGGCAGTAAAATCTTAGGGTGCTCTGTAAATGCTATTTACTGTTGTTGTTAGTGTTAGGGATGGGGCCACCAGCAGCTGGGAGGGATCAGAGAAAGCTGGATGTAGAAGGTGGTGTTTGAGCTGAGATTTGAAGGAAACCAGGGATTTGAAAAGGTAGCGTTGAGGAGAGAACACTCCAGGCCTGTGGAGAGGCAGTGCCAAGGCCTGGAGGCTGGAGACTGAACATTGCAGCTACAGAAGTGCCCATGGTGCAGTAGGACTGAATTACAAAGTCATCTGTAAGAAGACTGGAAAGGTTCCAGGAGGGGACAGGTTACGGACTTTTTACATTTGATCCTAGAGGTAATAGGAAGCCAGTGGAGTTCACTGGTTTTATGGGGTGTCATAGTCAGACTTGCACTTTAGGAAAATCATGTGAGGAGATGAGTGGCGGATGGATTGGAGAAGGGGAAATGCTTGAGGTAGGGAGAACAAATAGTCGGCTATTTCAGGAGACAAGAGAAAGGTGATGAGGACCTGCACCAGAGCGGTGGCCTTGTGAGTGGAGACCAAGGTACCTGGACAGATGTCGAAGAAACAAGGTTTGGCAGTGGACTGAATATGGAGGGGTAGGTGACTGAGGAGATGGGGACAATGCTAAGTTTGAGAACTCAGTGATGAGTTCTGTGATGAGGACGCTTGGAAGTGAGCCAAGTTTTGGGGAAAAGAGAATGAGATCCGTTTTGGAAATGTTGAGTTGGAGGTGTCCACGGGACCTTAGAGGCCATCTAAACCAACCTCCTCTTTACAGTTGAGACAATTGAGACTGAGAGAGGGTAAGTGATGTGCCCAGGGTCACAAATGTGACTCATCAAACCCTGGACGAGAAAATGTCGAGGAAATTGCCTGTTCTTCCATCATTAAAACTTCTTGACAGGATGTGCTTCAGAAAAGCCCCCAAAACCCCAGAGGGAACCCAGATAGCGTTGATTTCGTGGTCATGAAGCCCTCGGTTCTGTCACACATTCAGAAAACCCCAGAGAAGCCCACAACGTGCATGGACAATAGAAAACAAGTTAGACCCCTGCTTCCGCCCCACAGCACACAGTTCCCAACTCCTAGGACCCCCAACAAACTTACTTTCCCCCGGTCTCAGAGAACACTTGGCTTATACCTCCGAGGTGTCCTTCTCCCTCCCTCTCCACCTCCATCTATTAGTTATCAGTCTGTTAAAATGCATCTCATGTGCCCCAACCCCCAAGAAAGCTTATCCAGTGCCCCTCGAGGCGGCATAACACTTTGCAATTGATCCCTGCGTCCTTCTTTTCATATTATTATGCATTAGAGCCATCTGTGCTCTGCTGGGCCCTGCCCCCTCCTCAGACCATAAACTTCTGGAATGTAGGTGCCCCCATGTCTTTCACCTTTCCCAGTTCATATACGGTGCTTGGCACTGCGGAGGCAGGAACTTACTGATGTCTGTTGGACTAGATCCCTGGTTTCTATTAAAGTTTAGATCAAGCGTCCCCACCTATATGAAGCCCTTCCTGACTACCCCACCCCAATTTAGTTGTGCCCCCCTTAAAATCACCTTATATTCATTTTCTTTGTTGCTCCTGATACACTGTAAAGTCCCTGAGGGCAGGCGCTTGCTTTTGACTTCTTATCTAACTCGCATTAGTTGATACCTGTGAGTGTTTGGTGATTAATGATTAAACAGTTAAATAATTGTTGATTCGTGTCTTCCTCCAATAGAACGGAAGTTCCCTGAGGACAAGAACCATTTCCATTTCTGTCTGGACCTCTAGCATCTGGCCCCTAGTCATAATAAATGCTTGGTCCAGATAGCCATTGGGATCCCTAGATTGATGACCCCTGGTTTTATGGAATTTCAGTCGCACAAAGGGCCATAGGGCTGCACATCTTTTAATTCAGGCTTTTTTCTCTTTCTCTCTGTCTCTCTTTTTTTTTAGGCAATTGGGGTTAAGTGACTTGCCCAGGGTCACACAGCTAGTAAGTGTCAAGTGTTTGGTCTGAGGCCAGATTTGAACTCAGGTCCTCCTGACTTCAGGGCCAGTGCTCTATCCACTGTGCTGCCCAGCTGCCCCTAATTCAGGCTTTTTGACTCTTAAACCTAGGAAAGTTTAAAAGCCCAATAAAGCAATACTACTAAGAACATTTCCCATTTGTGTGGCCTTTTAAGTTGTGCAGAACACTCCACACCCATCAGCTCATTTGAATCTCCTGAGAACCCTGCGAGGTAGGAGGTGCTATTATTATCCTGACTGATAGGTGAGGAAATGGGAGCTCAGGGAGGTTATCGTCTTGCCAAGGGTCACACCGGTAGTCAATGTGCAAGGCAGGATTTGAACGAGGGGCCTCTGGACTCCAAGCCCACCCAGCCCCCAGCGCCTCTCTAAGGAGAGCCGACGGCAGCTGCTTTGTTCTCAGCACCTTGGTTTGTCGTCTGCTACAGGGCATGACCCCCCTGATGTACGCCTGTGTCCGAGGGGACGAAGCCATGGTACAGATGTTACTGGATGCCGGAGCTGACCTGAATGTGGAGGTGAGCATTGCCCCGTTAGACTTCACCAGCCTAGGCAGTTATTAAATGATGACTGAATTCAAAGTACTAGAAACTCTGCTCAGTGCAAAGACTAAGCTTGGCTCCAAAGGACCTACAGTAAAACAGACCTCCCTATTTTGGGCAGAGAGGTGGTGTGCGACATGTACAGAATGGGGCATGTGTTGTCAGACACAGCCAATGTGTGGGTTTGCTTTACTTACAATAGAGAGCAAGTCCTTCCCCCTTCCTGCTCCACCTGCTGTATCCATTAGGAAGTTAGCTAAAGTGATGCTCTCTTCCAGGACACCGTCTGACAGCCCTGCCCAGAAAAGCTTGCATGCATGTTTCAATTACGAACAACTGACTGTAGCCACATGGAATATTGGCTTTCCATGAGTTTGGCAATACTCTCATTGCTGCTGTGTTTTCTGGGAAACCAACACCCCCTCCTGGCCCCCCATCCTGGCCATCTCTATATATAATCTTTCTAGTACAAGAAAATAGAGGGAAAGAGCCCCTGGGCCTCCCATTGCCCCCTTGTTCACCTACTGACTTTCCTCCCCATCCATGTTGGCTAAGTTGAGATTGCAAGCCCATCAAGTCGACCTTGTGGTGACTCATCTTGACAGTGTCTTGGGCACCCACCAAGGCCAACTCTGTCTCACCTGGGAAGCTTTGACACCATGGCATTAAACAAGTCCCAGGAAATCTCTGGAGCTCTGAAAATGGTACCGCTGCTCTTTCTGGGATGGGTTACCTGTGTTCTTTTAAACTAGTGGAAAGAAAGAGTAATCTCTACTTGAAAGGTCTACACTCTTTTGGAATGGAAGCAAAGAGACACAAAGTGACACAGAGCTCAGGGTCCCAGAACTAGCAGTTCCAAGTTTTATGAAAGCAGCTACTGCTTCAGAGGATTTGGGTTCTCCCCACTCATCCCCTGGGAGTCCCCAAGGACAGATACAGATGCTTGAAAGGGATTCTAAACCATGAGCTGTGATCAATGGCCTGACAGAATGTAAGCTCCCTGAAGGCAGGGACTGTTCCATTCTTGTCTTTGTATCTCCAGCACCCAGCCCAGTGCCTGGCTCTTAATAGGAACTTAAATAAATGCCTGATACACGGACTAGCTGACCTCTGGCATCCTTAGATCCATGTTCCTATGACTGGTTGAATTTCAATGAATGTCATCTCTGATACCTAGTACAATGCCTTAATAAACATTTATTCATTGATGATCTGATTTCATTTGATGAAGGAAGTGTGCTCAAGGTTAGACTGCCCCAGAAGGCATTCTTTGAGTGCCAATTGGCAGAGATCACCAAAACATGCAACGGGCATCGATCATCTCCCAGTCAGCCTTCCTTTGGGCCCCCATATACCACTTGACTAAAATAAGGTCTGTTAGGCATAAGAATTCTTACTCAGGACCCACTTTGAGGAGAATTTAGACATGGAGGCTAAGACAAGAGTGAACTTTGGCTAAAGCAGCTAGTTTTAGGGGAGAGTACTCATTTTTTCCCCTATCAAAAACGTCAGCACCCTATCAATGGATATTCACAGGGCCTCAAGCTTCATGGGAATATAAGTTGACTAGAATTCACCTGGCATATTTTGGAAATAAAAGGTATGGAACCCATGAATCAAACCCTTTCAGGATGCTTGGCATTCCAACTTTCCTAACCTTCATGAACCATCTTGGCCTTAAGAGAGGGACATAGCCATAGAAGGCCCTCAGTAGAAGCAGTCGTTTGGCCTCCAGTGAAGGTCAGCCAGCTTCTGGTTCCATTGATCTAAGCAATAGGGGCAGCAATAGGAGATAAAGAAGGGAATGGCAAACCACTCCAGTTTGGGGTTTGCTTGGGGTTTTTTGAGATTTTAATATATTTATTTGAAAGCCACATTTCGTTTGTTTTAGAGAATCCCCAATCCTCTTCTGTAGAATAGAAATCCACAGTGAATTTCTTTTGTTCCCTGGAGTATTTGATAGCCCAGAAATGGAATCTTTCACTGATCCACCCTCACTGATTTCTCCTAACCATCCCTTTCTACAAACCCCTCAGGGCAGGCAGCGGGCCCACTCCTGGCAAGAAATGTTTATGGATTTTGTCAAGAGAAGACAACAAGAATCCTTCTGACCATTTTATTCCAAGCCTTTATTCTGTTTTTCCTCTTATGCATCTCCAAAGGTGCACAACAAGATGGACAGAGGTCATATTTGCTACTCAAAAGTATTTCAAAGATCGCCTTTTGAAAATAATTTTAATTTGTTTGTAGGTAATCAGTACTCCTCATAAATATCCATCCGTCCACCCTGAGACCCGCCACTGGACAGCTCTGACATTTGCTGTGTTGCATGGACATATTCCTGTAGTTCAGGTATTGCTATATTCTGTTACCCACATCTGACCTGTAATTTCAACCTTTGCTTTACTCTCTCTGCATCTCAACCAGTATGCATTTCTCTGAAGATGGCCATATTGAGTAGTTGTAGTAATATAGCATATTCATATCACATGAATGAAAATATTATATGTAATTATCTATATTACTTAGCTTTAACCAATATGGAGTGACTACACACACACACACACACACACACACACACACAGACACACACACACACAGAGTCATCATCATTAAAAAAAAAACTAAACTAAAAGCCTAGAAAAATTCTTTCCAATTGCTCCTCTTGATGATTTGTATATTTGTTCCATTTTCTCAAGAAAAAACAAGACCTTCTTAGTTTTAATATGCTGGAGCTTCATTATGAAACTGTCAGGATCCCTTGATCACTCAAAGTACACTAAGGAATAATCCTTAGAAGGTGACACCAAGGCTATAGCTTCCACTGACCTCATGGCCAAGGTCCATCACAGACTAACCATTATACTGTTCATCATTCATGTCCGAGGACCTCAGGGAACCAGGCACCACAACCATGCCCAGAAGACCCTCAAGGGACACTTAAGAGTACAAGAAAACCCAACTAACAGACAAACAGGGAAAGCTCTGCATGAGCATGCAGTCCCTAAAGCCTTACAGCTCTGCTGAAATAAGGCCCTGTTTCTTCTCTCCCTCCCTCAGGAGATGCCCTGTTTCTCTTTACCCAAATGCGCTGGCTTGAAAACATGTAGTAGGGTGATAGTGGTGGGGTACCAGCAGTGTGCTGGTAAATGTTTAACTGGGTCCCCAGAAGAAAATAATATAAGCATGACATGCTTTTAAATTTAATCTGCATTATTAACGTGTTCTCCAGACAAGTAACAAAACAATAAATCCAACCCTGATTTGTAACATTTGCTTACTTCTCACATTGAAATTGGTTAGTACAATTGGCTCTAGCACACCCCTGGGTTTTGTCCTCCTCAGTATGATTGGCCATAATTGCTCCCTACCCACTTCCTGCTGCTCTACCCTGCCTTTCCTTCTGTGCTAACAGTAACTGTCTTCAGAGTGCAAGTAATGTGAGCACCTTATAACTTTGAGGCTGTACCCTGCTAGGGGATAGGAAAAGGCCTTTGATTATCTTCTGTGGCAAAGCCATAGAATGCAAAGTAGCTAGTTTCACACACAGTTACCCCCTCACCAAAGGAGAAGAATAATTAATGGCAAGCGAGTGCTAAGGAATGCAGATTTCTTTTAGACAGTGCTTTGACAAACTGACTGGGGAGATGATTTCATATTCACTCAAGAAAGCTTCTGCCACTCAATCAGTGCCCCGTGGTGTACTCTCTTTGTTCACAGCTCTGAATTAGGGACTGGGAATATTCACTCTGTCTTCAAGGCTCTTGTGGTTGTGTTTGTCCTTCATTTTCAAAGACTAATAACATCTACTCCAAATGGAAAAGAAAGAACTCTCCTGGGTATGTGTGGGGCAATGTGGCATAGTGGATAAACATCTGGCCTTGGGATCAAGAATACCTGGCTGTAAGTCCCACCTCTTCTTACCCCAGACAGTTATCTGAGATTCTGTATAGGTTGCAGAAGTTGAATTGGTCAAGAGAGTTTCTTCACCAAAAGTTCCCTACTCCAATGAGTAGGTCCCAACCCAAAAGAACAGTAGCACACAGCTGGAATCATGGAGAGGGGGCCAGCTCTGGATTCAGGAAGACCTGGGCTCAAATTCACCATCTGACATATTGGCTGCTGGATCCTGGGCAAGTCACTTAACCTTGAAGTATCCTCTGCAGCTATCTAAGTTGGAGAACAGTTGCTGATCTCCACTAGTAAAGAGAGTTTCCACACTGAGACTTCCTTATAATCAGTGAAGTCGCATGTCTTCCCCACCACCACACCCAAAAAAAAAATTAGGAAAGGGAGGCTGGGATGGTAACCAGGTAAAACTTTTTGCAGGATAATTCATTTAATGTAATTATTTGAAAAGTTGTCCTTAGACATCCCAAGAGTGTCAGAGCTCCAGAAGAATTTAATGACCATCTAAGCCCAGAGGTTCTTAACTTTTTTGTGTCCTAGACCCCTTTGATACAGGTGAAACCTATATAGGTGAAACCTATATTGACTGGTTCTCAAAATCATGTTTTGAAATGCATAAAATAAAATACAGAGGACTAAAGAGGAAATCAATTCCAATGAAATAGTTATCAAAATATTTTAAAAATAAATTCATGAATTGGGCCTGGGTTAAGAACCCTAATCTAGTTCCAGACCCCATCACCCACTTTTTTATGGATAAAGAAATCAAGAATTAAAAACAAGGAGGTGACTTAGCTCAAGGAGAACAAAATGGCAGAGCCAAGGCTAAGCACAATTCTCCTAAGACCCCCCCCAGGGCAGGGTTCTTTCGGCCCCATCCACATCAGGAATGTTACAGAAAGTCCTAAGACCCTCACACTAGAGGGGGAAGGACTAGATGATCTCTAAAGTCCGTTCCAGCTCCAAGATAACCACATGGCTCCTTCTTGGGCCAGTTTGTGGTCACTCTGGTTATGAGTAGAGTGTACTGCTAGAAGAGAATAGAATGGCCTTTATTTATCTTCTTTGGCACAATTATTGGCAGGTCCTATTCTGGGACAAGGGGAATGGTGTATTTGAAAAGGAGTCAACATTTCACATATCTCTGCTACTTACTGTCTGACCTTCGGTTAGGCATTTATCTCCCTGAGCCTTAGTTTCCTTCTCTGTAAAATGAGGAGGCCCCTGAGGTCCCCTCCAGTTCTGGATCTAGGATTCTGTGTTCCATTTTTGCCGTGGTCAATTCATCCAAGGCTACTGAATGACCCGGGGTCTTCAGAGCTTTGGAGTGTATCAGCTCTTGAGAAATTCTAAGCATTTCTAAACATCCACTTTCCTTCCACAGCTCTTGCTAGATGCTGGGGCCAAAGTAGAAGGCTCTTTAGACCACGGGGAGGAGAACTATTCGGAAACACCTTTGCAGCTGGCTGCCGCCGTAGGTAAGGAAGAAGGGGGTTTCTTTCTCGTGATGGGAGGGTCACGTCTCCCCTTTCCCGCACCCCCCCCCACTGAAGTTGGATGTGCGTAGGATGCTGTGTTCATCTTCTTCGATAAAAACACACCCTTCTCTGGGCTTGCAGGAAATTTTGAACTGGTTAGTTTGCTGTTGGAGCGAGGAGCCGATCCAATGATAGGAACAATGTACAGGAATGGCATTTCTCCAACCTCACAGGGCGATATGAATTCTTTCAGCCAGGCTGCAGCCCACGGACACAGGTAGGCTAGGACGAGTCATTGACACCAGACTCCAGGCGTTCATGGAGCACTGAGAAACAATGTCAGGGACTTCTTCCCCCCTCCTACCCAGACCGTAGACATCTCCAGCAGCTTTCAACCAAAAGTCAGCCTTCTATAGACCGAGATGGTCCATTGGACAATCCCCTTGGTGGCCCTGCTTTTACTCTTTCTGACACTGACCACACCACTAGCTCCAGCATTAGCCAGCAGGAAGAAATCCCCTTTGCATGTTTTAGCCGCAGCAGCTCACATCAGCTGCTGTGAAGAAGATGGAGCCTTTTAAAAATAATAATAATAATAGAAAAATGGAAGGACCAGTCACTTTTACCCTAATGTATGTGGGCATCCATTTTAAAGTTTCCCAAATGGAATTTCAAGCACTTAGCAGTCTTGCAAGTCAAATTCCTTTGGAAGGGAGTAGAAGATAACACTTAGAGACCCTGGCCTCTTAGGTGTAGGTTTCCAGGCTTAGGAGAAATCACTTACCTTCAGTGTTCTGAATTCGTTCAATGGGACCATTCTCCCCAGGAGGAGACATCGTCGATCTAGCCCTCAGAGCCCGTTGCCAGAATCAGCCCCATCCAGGTGTTCGAGGCTATTGTTTCAATGGCAGGGGGCAGGAGGCCCCCTCCCCCGCCTCCTCTGCCCCTCCCCCACCTCCCAGTACAGCAGGCCCCTTCTCTGAGTATCTTCCTCTCTCTTGGGCTTGTGATTGACAGGAATGTGTTCCGCAAACTTCTTGCTCAGCCAGAGAAGGAGAAGAATGACGTCCTATCCCTGGAGGAGATTTTGGCCGAGGGCACTGACTTGGCGGAGACAGCCCCGCCCCCCCCCTGTGCGCCAGCCGCAACAGCAAGGCCAAACTGAAGGCCCTAAAAGAGGCCATGTATCACAGCGCTGAACATGGCTACGTGGATGTCACAATTGACATAAGGAGCATAGGTCAGTCCTGCTTTCCCTTCCCTGTCCCTGCCCTGGCCTCCCTAGGGCTGGTCTATTCCCAGTCCAGTGCCTCCCAGGGGCCAGGCCCTCTTGGCTGGAGCACATGCACCGGCCTTTGACGAGCCTACAGAAGGCTTGTCTGAGGATGGAAGCAGCCTAGCCCAGGCAAGGACATCAATTCTGTCAGCTCCTCCTAATCACCAGCATGACAGCGCCAAGAGAAAAAAAAACCACCTCATCCTCTAATCATCAGAAAACATCTCCTGGGCCATTTCTTCCCTCATCCGACCCCACGATTGGCTGGTGGCGGGCAGAGGGGATAACAGTAGCTTCACTGATTCCCACCTTTTTCACCCTCATGGTAGAAAAGGTCAGGTGAGGGGGGATGGCTCCTGCCTACGACAGTTCATAATACATCTCCATCTAGTGTATGAGGGAATAAAATGAGGCCACTGAGACCAGCCAGGCTTATGAGCATGTCTGCCTCCAACCCAAAGATAGAAATTGGAAACATCAGAAACCAGCAGACCAAGAAAGTGGGAAATACAGCCTCACAGCCCAAGAGAAGGGTGTTGCCTAATGGATGTGAGCTGAGCAAGCTTGTCAAGATTTCTGGTTTTTTTCTTTTTTTAAAAAATGTACTGTGGCAAGTTGTGCCCCTTCAAAAACTCTCCTCTCCTCTCTCTCTCTCTCTCTTCTGTCTCTCTGTCTATCTGTCTCTCTGTCTCTGTCTCTGTCTCTGTCTCTCTCTCTCTCTCTCTTCTCTCTCTTTCCTCTCTCTCTTTCTCTCACTTTCCTCTCTTCTCTCTCTCTCTCTGTCTCTCTCTCTCTCTGTCTCTCTGTCTCTCTCTCTCTCTCTGTCTCTGTGTGTGTGTGTGTGTCTCTCTCTCTCTCTCTCTCTCTGTGTCTCTCTCTCCTCTCTCTCTCTCTCTCGCTTTCCTCTCTCTCCTCTCTCTCTGTCTCTGTGTGTGTGTGTGTGTGTGTGTCTCTCTCTCTCTCTCGCTCTCTCTCTCTCTCTCTCTCTCTCTCTCTCTCTCGCTTTCCTCTCTCTCCTCTCTCTCTGTCTCTGTGTGTGTGTGTGTGTGTGTGTGTCTCTCTCTCTCTCTGTGTCTCTCTCTCTCTCTGCTTCTCTCTCTCTCTCTCTCTTCTCTCTCTCTCTCTCTCTGCTCTCTCTCTCCTCTCTCTCTGTCTCTGTGTGTGTGTGTGTGTGTGTGTGTCTCTCTCTCTCTCTCTCTCTCGCTTTCCTCTCTCTCCTCTCTCTCTGTCTGTGTGTGTGTGTGTGTGTGTGTGTCTCTCTCTCTCTCTCTCTCTCTCTCTCTCTCTCTCTCTCTCTCTCTCTCTCTCTTCCCCCCCCCCCCGCTGCAGTTTAATATATGAGAAGCTACATGCACTTGCATGGAGAACTCATTTTGCATGATTATGCGACTTAGATCCAAATAGGCAGCTTCGTGTGAGATGCTCCCTCCCATCTGTGCCCTTAAATCATAGGCGGATTGTGGGGAAAGGGAAATTGCAATGATCAGATGCTTGAGAGGGTTCTGTTGCGGTTGGGGAGGGGGAGGATGCAATGTAGGATGTTGGATTATAGAAACGTTCTGGATGAGGGAGAAGGGAGGAAAATGGGTTCCACCCTTCAGACTCCTGTGGGAACATTCGTGGTCACACACACACACCACACACACACACACACACACACACACACACACACTACCTCTTCAAGCCTGCCGTGTCCTAGCTAAATGACCCATTAGCTGTGTTCCATACATGATCAGGTCTCTGGGCCTCGTCACAAGTAGGCTTCCATGTCAGGAATGAGTTTCAGGGGTCACCTCCCACAACAATCTCATTCTCTCTGTGACCACCAGGAAATTGGAAGATTTCTCTTCCTGGAGTTGGAAGAGACTTACGGAGAAGCCTGTCCAAGCCCCTCACTTTTCGGGGGAGGGTACCAGAGAAGAACAGTGACTACCCAAAGATCACACAGCAAGTTTAGAGCAGAAGCCATATTGGAGTCCATGCTTTGTGCTCTTAGCTCTTCCTGGGCCCAGAAGGAGAAATGACACATGGGAGGACAGTGGGCTGATTAACTCAGAGAGGGGCAGCTATGTGGAGATCCCAGAATCTCACTGTCATGAGAGACATGAGTGACCAGCCTACATTAGGACAAGATGCTCCCCTGCCATATACCCAAAGCAACGTCAACTCAAGTTCTCCCTCTCTGTGCCTGAATATCTCAAACAAGAGGAAACTCGGTAGAGGCAGCCCCCTCTCCTTTGGGACAGCTCATTGGTGGGAAGTTCCTTCAATGTGACAGCCTGCCTCTCTTGTTCAGTGGTCCAGCTTCCACCCAGGGCTTCTTGTCTTGCCCTCTGGGGCCCAGCAGAACAAGGTTCACCCCTCTTCTACATGACAGCCTTTCAGTTACTTGGAGACAGCTAGCACTTCCCCACTGGGTCTAGTGGTGAACTATAATATACATTGACACTATCAATCTATGCATCCATGCTATATAATATTAACTATAATCACATGAATGGGAAAGTTAGGGGACATTAATGGAATCAGGGAGACCCAATTGGCTGCTGTTCTCTGGGCAAGTCACCTAACCCTCTCTAGAAGACTGTAAGTTTCAGCACAGGGAGCAGTCTTTGTTAGTAAAGGGAGTTCCCTCCTCCGGGTATGGACTGATGGGGATGGACACAAGGATACTGTTACTGTGGGGATGAATGATAGTCAGATATCGGAGCACTGAGCAGGAGACCAGTCGTTAATAGTAGCTTACATTCATACGGTCCTTTAAAGTTTGCAAAGTAGAGGCAGCTAGGTGGCGCAGTGGATAGAGCACAGGCCCTGAAGTCAGGAGGACCTGAGTTCAAATCTGGCCTCAGACCAAACACTTGACACTTACTAGCTGTGTGACCCTCGGCAAGTCACTTAACCCCCATTGCCTTAAAAAAAAATTAAAATTTAAAAAAAATTAAAGTTTGCAAAGTTCTTGACTTGCCTTCTCTGGGATTGGGCAGTGTGGTGGAGCCAAGAGGGCATTCCTAGCATGAAGACCTGGACTGAGAGACTTACCAGCCATTCAGCCCTAGCAAGTCACAACCACTCTGCCTCATCCTCCTCCTTTGAGTTTGGACTCAAAGGTCTTCAAAGACCCTTTTGGCTCTAAATCAATAAACCTATGAGCCTAAATATTATTATCTAGATTTTACAGAAGAGGAAACTAATGCCAAGAGAGATGAAACAACTGTCTTTGAGGACAGGGACTGTCTTTTGCCTCTTTTTGTATCCCCAGTGCTTAGCACAGTGCCTGACACATAGTAGGTGCTTAATTAATGTTGATTGACTGACTGCCCGGGATTACACAGGCAATGAGTCTCTGAAGCAGAATTCAAACCCAGGTACTCTGACTCTAAGGTGGATGCACTTTCCATCAGGCACACTACCTCACTCAGGTAGATTGCATGATAATGCAGAATGCCACCCTGGTTTCATGACTTAAAAATCATAGGCTAACAGATTTAGGGTTGGAAGGGATCCTAGAAGTCACCAAACCCAGCCAACTCATTTAACAGATAAGGAAACTGAGACCCAGAGGGGTTAGTGATACGTCCAGGGTTATATAGGCAATGGGTAGCTGGATGGCACAGTGGATAGAGTGCTGAGCCTGGAGTCAGGAAGACTCATCTTCATGAATTCAGATCTGGCCTCAGACACTTACGAGCTATGTGACCCTGAGTAAATCACTTAACCCTGTTTGCCTCAGTTTCCTCATTTGTAAAATGAGCTGGAGAAGGATGTGGCAAACTATTCTAGTATATGTGCCCCCAAATCCCCAAATGGGGTCACAGAGAGTCAAATATGGCTGAAACAACTCAGTAACAACATACAGGCTGTGATTATCTAAGGCAAGATTGAAACCCAGACCTTTCTGACTCCGAGTCAAGCACTCTATCCACTAAGTCACACTTTCTCTCATTTTTATTTATGTCCATTTTGCCTCCCTCATTAGAATGTAAGCTCCTTGAGGGCAGGGACTGGTTTTGAATTGTTTTTTTCTTCGTCCCAGTACAAGTAAGCTGGAGGTACTGTTTCTGGTTTTTCTTTGTATCCCTAACACTTAGCATAGTACCTAGCCCATAATAGGCACTTAGTAAACACTCACGGATTAATTGGTTATAATTCTATGACATCTTGGGCCAGCAAGCTTCAGCTCAAAATCAAATTTCCTTGTGGTTGTTTTTGTCTTCCTTTCCTGTTCTCCACTGTCTCCCTCGTCACCCCTGTAGGAGTGCCGTGGACTTTGCATACGTGGCTGGAGTCTTTGAGGGTCTCTTTCCAGCAGCATCGGAGGCCATTGATCCAGTGTTTATTAAAAGAGTTTAAATCTATCCAAGAAGAGGAGTACACAGAGGAGCTCATTACCCAAGGCCTGCCACTGATGTTTGAGATCCTGAAGGCAAGCAAGGTATGGATGGAAGGGGGTTGGGCTCCCTGTTGGACCTAGATGTCCAAGGAGAACATGGTGGCCACACAGCTCCCCACAAATGCTGCTGTGCACCTGGTAGGAAAATGGCTGGCTTTGTAGGGTTCCAGCTTCTCAGATAGCCACTGCAACCAGGTGATTTGGCCACAGATCATCAATAAAATGAAGGGGTTGGACTCACCAGCTCCTATGGCCCCTCCCAGCTCTAAATCTATAATCCTATGAAACTGGCACAGATTCAACCATGGATTACACATGGATCTCCAGTCCATGGGCCTCAATATTATTGTATGTAAAATGATGGGAGGTTGGATGCAGCGGCCTCTAACGTCCTTTCCAATTCCAAATCTGTGATCCTATGATCACATGCTTGGCACAGTGCCTGGCACCTAGTAGATACCCAGTAAATGCTATTGACTTGATATGTGGCCCTTTCTCAGCCTCTGCTTGCTACCTTTGTGACTTTGGGTAAAGGGCTTCTCCTCTCTGGCCTCAGTTCCCTTATCTATAAAATGAGTGGATTAGAAGAGAGGACAGGGAGCGTCAACAGCATTTATTAAGCACTGACTGTATGTTGGGCACTGCACTTGGGCTCAGAGCATAGGAGATTTAGAGCTGAAAGACATCTTAAAGGCCATGGAGTCCAAACCCCCATCATCTTATGTATGAGAAAAGAGAGGCTGAGAGAGAATAAGTGATTTGTCCTGTGTCACACAGCTAATAAGGCTCAGAGGTAGGATTTGAACCCAGGTTCTCGACACCAAGTCCAAAACTTTATCTCATGCTCTGCACGGCTTAAACAACTTCTAAGGGCCCTTACAACTTAAAGTATCTGGAAAAGGGCACCCAGAAGAACAAAGAACCTCATGGTCATATGATGAGGATCAGTCTAAAGAACCAGGGATGCTTAACCGAGAAAAGAAGTGATGTAAGAGGGGGCAGCTAGGTGGTGCAGTGGATAGAGCACCGGCCCTGGAGTCAGGAGGACCTGAGTTCAAATCTGGCCTCAGACACATAACACTCACTAGCTCTGTGACCCTCGGCAAGTTACTTAACCCCAATTGCCTCACAAAAAAAAAATTACATAAAAGCTGTCTTCAAATATTTGAAAACTGTGGTGTCTGCAATGAGAAGCTGGCTCCAAATGGAATGCGGTGCCTTGGGAGGTAGTGGGCTCCCCCACAGTAGAGGTCTTCAGATAAAGGATGGGGAGTCACATGTCAGAGGTTGTTACAAAGGGAATTCCTATTCAGGTCCTTGTTGGATTCAATGGCCAATGAAGCCCCTTCTACCTCTGAAATCCTGTGATTTCAATCAAGCAACAAGCATTTATTAAACACCTAATGTGTGCCAGTCACTGTGCTAGATATGGGGGATACAATTCCAAAGAATGAAATGATCCCTACTAGCAATGACCTTATTGGGAAGGAGTAAATGAGAATTCCAAAGTGGCTCATGGGAAATGAGATTATCAACTTCACTGACACTGATGAAAAAGAATGACAAAAAAAAACCCCAGTGGACAATGGAAAGACCACACCATGGGTATAAGTAAGATGGAGCATGTTAGCCAAGATGATTCGTGTTCTAGAAATGATGTAAAAGATGCTATTAAGGATGCATGAAGCCAGGAAGGGGGGCAAGGGCCACGAGCTGGATGGTCCAAGGGCATATTCAAACAATAATCAAAGACAGAAAAAAGGTCTCCCTGATAGAGGTGGAGTAAATCAGAAAGCTGTAGGGAAAGAAAAGGACAAGAGTCACATGGGATGAGAATGAACACGGACTAAATGAGAGAGAACCCGTACTGATGAGCTCAAATATTCACGGATGCCTGGCTCTGTCTTCCAAAGCTGAAAAATGTGATCTCGTCAGGGACTGATCCAGTCTCTCTCTCCTTCAGCTTTTTTAGGCCTCAACTTTTCCAGCTGTGAAATGGGGGGGCCCATATCCCCTTCCAGATAACTGCAGAATAGGATCCTAGGGCTGAGAGACTTTAGGAGAATATCTGTTGTAGACCTCTGCTTTCTGACAGTCTTCCCTCCGAACTATCCTGAGGTCCTCAGATCTTGGGAAAATCGTAACCCGCGTGAGTCCACAGAATGTGCTGGCCCTGTTTAAAACCTCCAACAGCTCCCATTGCCTCTAGGGACGACAAACAAGATCAGCAGCTGCATTTAAAGCCCTCCACAGCCTGGCTCCCACCTGCCTTCCCAGTCTTATCTCCCATAACTCCCCTGCATGCAGCCGGACTGGCCAGCTCACTGTTCCCTCTGCGTGACACGCTGCCTCCTGCCTTCGTTCTTTCACACAGATGGGTCCTTGTATCTAGAACGCATCCCCTCCTGATACCCGTATCTCAGGATCCCTGGATGCCTTCAAAGCCCAGCTTAGTCACCGCTTTCTTATCTATGTACATGTTGCATCCCTGTCATAGAATTTAAGCTATTTGTGGGCAGTTCTATCTTATTTCTGTCTTTATATGTCCAGCACTTGAGACAGTGAACCTTGTGCGTGTCTTCTTATCTCCTTCTTCCTCTTCTTCCTTTCTCCTCCATTCTTGTTTTTTCTCTTCATTTTCATTCTCCTCCTACCTCCTCCTCCATTCTTCTCATTCTCCTCCTGATCTTTTCCCCCCTTCCTCCCTCTTCCTCTTCTTTCCTCTCGGTTCTCATCTCCATCGTCTTTATTATCTCTGTCGTCTTCTTCACTATCTGTCACTCTTTCTGTGTTCCTGGCATTTCATCAGCATTGAACAGTTCTGATGTGGAATTTCCCTCGGTGGAATTAGCTCCAACATCTAGGCCTGGAAAGTTGGCCGTAGCAGAGAGTAGTTGAATGGTTTGCCCATAATCACATCCCAACTGTGTATATGAAGCAAAACTTGAACCCAGATCTCCCTGACTCCAAGGCCAGCTCTCTTTCCACTATACCTTCATAAATATTGAATCAAATTGAATTAAATTAAATTAAATTAAAGGACAGGAATAGTAGCACATTGTCCCACTGGAGAGCAGTATTCTGGTAATCTCAGATGAGCCTTCCTTCCTCTCAAGTCCTTCTCTATATCTATGCAGTTAAGAGGCCCATGGACCAGAGTCCTTCTCTATACATGTGCACCCTTCATTCTCCACGTGCAGATGGAACGCCAGGTACAGCATGGCCGCGTGCCACTAACCATTACTAACAGAGTGCTCTGTCCCAACAGCTGGGCTTGTTAGAACGTGATCCCACAGTTCTTTGGCCCCACCAGTTGAGTCAGCTGGCTGAGCCCTCAGGAGATTCAAGTAGAGCTAATGGTGGCAACTGCATGGCTGTCGTAGTCCTGCCCTTTTCCCAGCTCCTTTCTAGGGCTAGAGGCTGGCTTCTGAAGCTGCCATTTTGGTCACTCTGACACATCTGTGCCTGAACCCACCTCTCTAAGGACACAGTTGGCTTCTTGCCCAGGCAGAAACAGAAGTGCTAGTTCTGATGAATTCCAGGTGGCTACAAGAAGGCCTTGGTCCAGAGCCGACAAAATCCATTTGGGAGGACAATCTATGGCTGCCATAGTCCAAGGCCTCCCTCCCAAAACTATTAACTGGTGCTAATTACATACATGCCTTTTACCTACAGAGGCAATTCACTTTAAGCTTAGACAGAATTAGTTAGGGAGGCCACTAATTTTCATTCAACAAATATTTCTTAAGCTGCCTCTCTGTGCCATGGCCTAAGAAAACAAAGGAGAAAAAATACAAAACTGTGCCTGTCCTCAAGTGGCTTCTGTTTTATTAAGGGGAAAGTGACTAACTGAAATGAGCAAGTACAGCACCTGAATGGGCATACTTACAAAAACAGGAACCCTGAGAAGGAGGACCGGAAGAAATTCAGGGCAAGTCTAGTGGGAGACTGAAGTAGTACAGGGGAGAGAACCCAGGCTGGGAACCAGGAAGCCTGGGTTCTAGTTCTGGTTCCACCACTGCTCTCAACAAGTCATTCCATCCTCCCTGAGACTTACTTTGGTCATCTTTAGAATGAGGGGTTGGTGTCACAAGGTTATTGCAGTCTCTTCCAGCTCCCAGCATTCTAGCAGTCAGTCAGCAATCATCTCTCAAAGCACCTACTATGTGTCAGTCACCAGGGACTCAAAGGTCAAAATGAAACAGGCACTTCAAGGAGCTTACATTCTATCTAGAAATAACATGCACCCAAATATATGCAGAATAAATACCAGGTGGGAGGCAGTGTGCTGTAGTGGACAGAGAGCTGGCCTCCACATCAGGAAAATCTGGGTTCAGGTCACATACTGGCTGTTTGGCCCTGGGCAAGTCACTCAACCTTTTGGTGCCCAGGGCAATTCTTTAAGACCATGAATTGTGAAGCAGGTACCAAGATGGAGTTTACCCATAAAGAGTTCACTACGTCTAAGAAATGACAGACCTGGTCCCAAAAATAGACATGATAATTCTACAGGGGAGATCCTAGAACCTGGGAGGGGAAAGAGGTGATCAGGAAAGGCCTTACATAGGAGGCTTTCTCTGTCTACTCACTGGGAAGATCAATGAACAGAAATGACAATCAGCTCACCAAGCATGTAATAAATGCCAAGCACTGTCCAAGGTTCTGAGGATGCAAGGACAGAAATGCAACAATCCCAGCCCTTAAGAGCCTTACATTCTAGCAGTGAATATGTTCAAATATGTCCAAAAAGTGGTCAGTAGAATAGTGGAGAAAGAGAGAAAGAGGAAGTGAAGGGGAAAAAAAACAGAGAGAAGGAACAGAAGGAGGAGACAGAAGGAAAGGGTCTGAATAATCTAGACCCTGGCTAATCAGTCCCTGAATTATTGAGAGATGCCTGGGGCAGCTAGATGGCGCAGTGGATAGAGCACCGGCCCTGAAGTCAGGAGGACCTGAGTTCAAATCTTGTCTCAGACCAAACATTTGTCATGTTGCTAGCCGTGTGACCCTGGGCAAGTCACTTAACCCCAATTGCCTACAAAAAAAAAAAAAGAGAGAGAGAGAGATGCCTATACTTTAGGATAGCAATTTCAGTAACTTGTCCCCTTTCTAAGGATCATAGGACTTAGAGATAGAAGAGACCTCAGAAGCCATCTGCCCCAATCCTCTCACTTTATAGATTTTATACTTAGGTCCAAGAGGTTAAGGTACCCCAGGTCACACAGGTGATGGGTGACAGAGCTGGGATTTAAACCCAGGTCTTCCAACAGTGCTTTTTGTGTCACCACCATGTTGTGAAATGCCTGAGCTCCCCAAAGATCACTGGCAGCTGCGAGCACCTCATTCCCATGTTTTAGCTATCAAGGGCCCTGAACTTGTGGTTATTCATGTCTTATTCAAAGAGACCCTCGTCATTGTGCCAGGAGCAATCATCTGCTGTTATTGAATGGGGAAGCCCTGTTTGCTGAAACCCATGAGCTAAAGCATTAAAGGTGGTTACATTTAGAAACTAAGCTTGATTTTCTCTGCTGTGACCCACAAAAACCTTCTTTCTAATGGACATTAAGTAAACAGAACAAGAGAGTGTGACTTACTAGGGCATCAGGTCCCCAGTAATCATACCTCTTGTCCCAGAGACCTCTTGGCAATGAGGTTTACTAAAATAGAACAGGGACAGCTCAGAAAAGTCAGTCTGTGTCCCACTGGGATGAGAAAGAAGTTTTAATGCCAAGTTCAGTTCCCTACAGAAGACTCAGTAACATTTCTGAGGGAAAAGAGGTTTCCCCCAGCCCGCACTCAAGACTTCACTTTCCTTAACACTGAGTGCGGAGACTCTGAAATTGTGATAGACAGCTTAGGACAGGCCCTTGGAATCCTCCAGCTCTCAAGAGTTCTTGTTTCTCTTCCTCAGAATGAAGTGATCAGTCAACAGCTGTGTGTCATCTTCACTCACTGTTACGGACCTTATCCCATCCCCAAACTGGTGGAGATAAAGCGTAAGCAGACATCTCGTCTAGGTAAGTTACTCCCCAGAAGCTGCCTTGCAACTTGAAAATAGAGAGGAGGGAAATCAGATGGAGGGGGGAGGAAGGGAAGGAAATATGCCCACCTACTTCTGTAAGCATATCCTTAGGAAAATTTTCACCTGCAAAGAATATCCTATGGAATGTCTTGACTAGCTCGGCCTATCCCGTATGGTCATTTTCATGTCTACAAGGAAGACATAACCTAGGACTCATTGATCTGAAAATAAAAGATGCTTTATGGCAATCTAATCCGCCTTAATTTTCTCATCTAGAAAAGCAGGGCTTGGACATGATGGTGTCTGGTGCCCCCTTCTAGCTCTCATCTAGTTAAGAGTGCTGGGCCTGGAGTCAAGAAGACCTGAGCTCAGATCCAGCCTTAAACACCTATTAGCTGTGTGATACTAGGCAAAGCACTTATTCTTTCTGCCTCAGTTTCCTCATGTGTGTAACGAGGATAATAATAGCTCCTACCTTGGTGGTTTGTGAGAATCAAATAAGATAATAGTTGTAAAATGATTTGCACACCTTAAAATGTTATATAAATTCTAGCTATCAGCTAGCGCTATTAGAGCTATGATCCTATGAGAAACAAACAGGAGACTGAGTGACGTTCTTACGGAAGAGGGTGATGGGAGAGATGTTTACCTTTCAAAACTCAAAACCAACTGGGTTCTGACTCTAGGTGAGTATTCAAAGGAGATATGGCATGCCTGCCCTCTGGCAGAGAATAAATCATTCAAGGCTTCATATGAAACAATCCGTCTTAATGGCTTGGGTTTACCTTTGACTGAGCTGTTTCCTAACCCAGATGGCAATCTGTGGCTTCAGAGACCAATCCCATAAGCCCCATTTTCCCCATCAGCAATGATATGTAATTCAGGAAGTAAATCTTCCCCCTACTCTGGACTAAAGCCTCTCCCCTGTTCCTTTTCTTTCTTTCTAGATCCTCACTTTCTCAACAATAAAGAGATGTCTGATGTTACCTTCCTGGTGGAGGGGAGACCATTTTATGCACACAAAGTATTGTTGTTTACTGCATCTCCCAGGTAAGTGCTCGGTCTCATCTTGGAAGTCAGTCATGGTCACTGCAGAGACTGGGACTGCAACTATTCACCATTCCCAGAAAGTAAAAGGGGGTGAGAGGAGTTTCATGGATCACTTAGCAAGTGAGAGAATTGAGGACCCATGCTCAAGGGATCAGCCTTCTGAATGCCAGTGGAAAGAGGCATGCCTCCCATTCTGAACACAGAGGTAGTGGACTATGGGAGTGGAATGAGGCATGCATTGCCGGATATGGTCAGTGTGCAGATTGATTTTGCTTAACTGTACAGCCTTATTTTTTTTTTAAAAAAAGACTTGATGATGTGTGGGGGAGGGAAGGGAGTGTCATCATAGGGATTCAATCCCAGTCATTAGAAAGTGTCAGCAATGTAGGGGGGAACAAAACATTAAAAAAAAAAACTTTAGGGAAGGAAAGTCAGAACAGGAAATGGAGGCAAAAGAAATGGAAGGGAGGGAGGGAGAGAAGGAGGGAGAGAGAAAGATTAGATAGATAGATAGATAGATAGATAGATAGATAGATAGATAGATAGACAGACAGACAGATTTCTCACTAATTCAACTCACACATCATGGAACTAGTCCAAATGCTAGGGAAATTTTACTGGACATTAAAATTTTCACATGGTTCCTGGAATAGAACCCAGGGGAATGCAGGGGAAGGGAGAAAGGGAGATAGGTAGAGACAGAGAAGGGAATTGATTTGTAGTTAGAGGATCTGCGTTCAAATCCTACCTTTCCTCCTACTGTGTGATATCTCTGAAACAAAGTCTATCTGGACCTCAGTTTACTCATCTGTTCTTTCCAATGGTTTACAGATAAAGCCCATAGAGTTCAAATGACTTGTTCCAAGTCACATGGGTGTTAAGCATAAGAATTGGGATTGAACCTCCAAGGTCCCTTCTACCTCTACATTTCTGGTGCCGGATGGGCTTTACCCATTCTGAACGTCCAAGACTTGGATCTGACTTTTCTAAATCCAATTTTCATTTGTTCTCCATCAATCAGAGCAGGAGTCTGATGGATGGAACCTCTGTCTAAGAGTTTGGTCCCTTCTCTTCTTCTTGCTCCTTCTGCAGATTCAACAGGAGATATATCTGAAAATTCAGAACCTGACTAGGTCCTGAACAGACTAAGACATAGTGGGAGAAGAGAGAGGATGTGACAACCTTATGGCACCGTGAAGAGACTCCAATAAAATACTAGGATGCCACAGAACTTCAGAGTAGGAAGGGCTCTCAGAGGCCGTTGAGGCCAACCCCCCTCATTTTACAATTGAGGAAACTGAGGCACAGAGGATCTAAGTGACTTACTCTACTCGCTACACAGGTAGTAAGTGTCAGAGATGGGAGTTGAACTCAGGTCTTCTGATGTGAGTCAGTATTCTTTTGGAATATTTATCCTTGACAGGTGATTGTTTAGTCTTTGCTTGCAGACCTCCAAAGATGGGGGAAGCCATCACCACCTAAAGCAGTTCATTCCATTTTAGGAAAACTTTATTCATTAGCAAGTCTTTCCTTACACTAAGTTAAAATCTGCCCATCAGCAACTTCCCCATACTACTCCCGGCTCTGATGTCTGGGACAAGTAGAGTCATAGAAGTAGCAGGCTGTAAAGACAAGAACACTGGATTTGAAGCCAAAGGAATGTGCATTGTGACGTTAGGCAAGTTACGTGACCCCTCTAATCCTCAGTTTATCTGTAAATCAAGGGAGGTCTTCTCTGGCCCCAAATCCCATGATCCAAGGAACCAGGGAAGGCCAATTTTAAGTCAAGTTCTGAAAGAGCTGGTGAAAAGGGAAACAAGGGATGCCTAGAAAGTCAGAGGCCATCTTGTCCACTCCATTTTACATATGAAGAAACTGAGGTCCAAGGACATGAAATTATTTATTATAGATTCAGAGCCAGAAGAGACCTTAGAGGTCATCTAGTCCAATGTCATTATTTTGCAGATGAGGAAGCTGAGGTACAGGTAGATTAAATGATTTATTTAATTTTCAGTCATTTTTCAGTTATGTCTGACTCTTCATGCTCTCATTTGGGCTTTTCTTGGCAGAAATACTGGAGTGGTTGGCCATTTCCTTCTCCAGCTCATTTTACAGATGAGGAAACTGAGGCAAACAGAGTGAAGTGACTTTCCCAGGGTCACACAGCTAGTCAGTGTGTGAGGCCAGATTCAAACTCAGGAAGATGAGTCTTCCTGACTTCAGGCCCAGCACTCTATCCATTGCACCACCCAGCTGCCCCTAATTCATCTAATATTGCAGAAGTCACATACTTCAAACTTGGAATAGTATTTAAAATAGTTCATTGAAAGTCTTCAAGCAAAGGCTGCATATCCACTAATTCATGGACATTATAAAACAGAATTTCATTTAGTTAAGGGTTGGACTAATGGCCTCCAAGGTCTCCTCCAACTGAGAGATTCTTTGAATTTGTTTTCCCATATTAAGCCAAGTTCTGAAAGAGCAGGTGCAGAGGGGAGCAAGGGATGCCTAGAGAGGCAGGAGCCATCTCGTCCACTCCCTTCATTTTACATTTGAAGACAAGCATGACACCCTTCTATTCCTCCAACTCGTTGTCACATGGCAAGTTCTGTAGTCCTCAGTGCAGTGGGTTCTTTCCCAAGTCTGAGCTGGAGAAGCTAATTGACCGACTCAAGACCAGTCCACCTTTCATGCCCTCAGTGTGCATTGTCAAATGCAGGCTGTCCCAAAAGTCTGCTTAAGCTTAAAGCTGCCCTAAGACTTTTGGGGGCACTCCGTGGTTGGGGCACAAATGAGACATAATAGGAAGAGAATGACTCATGCATATACATACATACATATATATATATATATATATATATATATATATATATATATATATATATATATATATATATATACATATATACATATATATATATAAAACGATCAATGATCTCATCAGGGCAGGAATTCCAGCTGTGAGAACAATCCCCTTTCCACCAATCACCACCAACCTATGACTTCATAGATTAATCCTAGAGGCCCAAAGAGGTCTTTGACTTCTCAGCCAGGCTCATTCAGAGAGTAGAGATCCAAAGTGAGATTTGAACCCAGGTCTTCCTGATAACAAGCCGTGTCCTCTATCCATTCTGGTGTATTACCTCTTGTGTTTCCAGTTATTAGCATGAAAAGGAACCAGCACATTGAGCAAATGATCAGAAGAGGCCAGGTTTCTGATTGGTCATGTTTTTCATTCATTTTTTTTTCTCTCTGTTTTCTTTCTTGTCTAGATTCAAGGCACTCCTGTCCACCAAACCAACAAATGACAGCACATGCATTGAGATCAATTATGTGAAATACCCCATCTTCCAGGTAACCTCACCATGCCTGGCACCAGGCACTTCCCAGCATGCACAGTACAAATGCAGTTCCCTCCTAGGTACCCATCTTGGGGCTGAGGGTTCTACCAGCTGTGGACCTGCCTTGGACTTCCATTGGTAGAAGCCTAGGAAATGCATTGGTTTTAACATTAACCAAGCAAAATGCAATGAAGGAAAGTAAGTCTGCTTTCTAACAAAGTAAACTCCATTCTTCTTGAGTTTAAATCTGGCCTCAGACATTTTCTAGCTGTGTGACCCTGGGCAAGTCACTTCACCCAGTTTGCTTCAGTTTCCTCATCAGTAAAATGAGCTAGAGAAGGAAATGGCAATCTACTCCAGGATCTTTGCCGTGAAAACCCCAAATGGGCTCATGACGACTCAGACACAACTGAAAATGACGGAACAAGTATGTTGGCAGGTAGAGTGCTAGTCCTATAACCTCATATACTTATGAGCTGGGCGACCCTGGGTGACCCTGTCTGCCTCAGTTTCCTCATTTGTAAAATGGGGATCATAATAGCACCTACTTCACCGAGTTGTTGACATTCAACAAGCATTTATTAAGCACCTACTAGGTTCCAGGCACTGGGGATTCAAAGAAAGGGCAAAAACACAGTTCCCGCCCTCAAGTAGCTCACATTTTATTGACAATACTATAGGTGTTAGCTTCCTGATATTGTGACAAATGAGGAAACTGATTCTCCAGACTGTCATCCAGTCAGTAAGTATTTGTTAAACTCTTACTACTGTCAGGCACACGTGCTAAGGTCTAGAGATGCGCTGCACAAAGAAAGGCAAAAAAAAAAATGGCGTCAATCCTTACAGAGTTCATTTTCTTACTCAGGAGATAACACGTGAACGGCTGTGTACATAAAACAGGTATACAGTGCAAAGGGGAGGGAATTCAGAAAGAGGGCACTGGGTGAGGGTGGGGGGCTCCAGAGGCCTCCAGCCAAAGGTCAAGTTTGAACTAAGTCTTGAAGGAAGCCAAGGAAGCCGGGAGGCAGAGATGAGGAGGAGGAGAGATTGTTGTAAGGCTCAGATGAAATAACATATGTTTAAATGCTCTGAAGACCTTGGGCTCTTGAAATGTTGTTTACTGTTGTTATTATTATTATGTTAACTCAAATTCCTCTCCTCTAAAAGCCATATGGCCCAGAGGAAAGAGTCTTTTTGCCCAGCAGAGGTCCCAGAAGCCCTTATGAGGTAGAACCGGACACCCTCTGCATCCTTCCTACACACACACACACACACACACACACACACACACACACACACACACGCAATAACCTGAAACTCTCCAAGTGCCAGTGAATGCCTTCAACTATGCCATTGAGTATGGGGCTAATTGGGAACTTCACTGTCATAAGTATTGGAAGAACTGGCCCAGATTAATCATTGGGAGTATAATGGCTTTTGACTGGGCCTAGGGTTCCCTGCCACATTAGCCTGAAGTTATAAAGGGAAAGGACGAGTTAGTAGGGCCCTGGGGATTTTCCTCCCACCCTCCCCCCCATAAAAGGAGTGATCTGTGATTTGTGGCTGGAAATAGCCTGAGTGGAGCCAAAACCAGCCCTGGAGGAGGGTCCCAGGTGTCCTATTTATTTCACTTCCACGCTGATGGGAGAATTTTAGTAAATGAAAGTGTGCTTTTTGTCCCCAGGATGTTTTAGTACCACGTGAAGTGTGGGGGAAGGGGGCACAGGAAGCCCAGCTGAGTTGGTACCTGGGGCCCAGGCTGAACAGGAGTTTGAATCCCAGCCTTGGTTGGGTTAGAGGCTGCCAAGAAAAATGGCCCCCCAAATGAGGGTCCTTCACTTCATAACCATTCACTTGGTTTCATTCAGCCCCCCTTGCTGGAAGCCCTGGGGATGGCAGGTCAATTAAAATCCAATCCAAAGTCAACTGTGTAAGAAACAGACTGGCTTTGCTACAGCTCTCCAAAGAAGGAGAGTGGGCATCTGGGGTGGTGGCAAAGGCATTGAGCTTGCGGTTACAGGATTGGAGGGCCAGAGGATTTAGTGCTGAGAGGGCCCATAGAGTCCAGCTAGGCCACCTCCCTTCTTTTACAGCTAAGGGGACGGAGGCTCCATCCCCCCATTCACCAGATGAGGAAAATGAGGCCCAAAAAGAGAAGGTGACTTGCTGATGATGATACAGGTAGTAAGTAGGTAGGGCGGCAGGAATTGAACCCAGGTCCTTCGGCTCCAGGTTCAAGGCTTCTTCATTAACTTCTTCATCCCCTCACTAGGCACCCACCATGATCAAGGAAAGCTGCTCTCCCCACTTAATCAGGGTGACTCTGGCCTCAACACTGACCAAATGGATGGCCCTGGGGGTGAAGGTCACTTTTACTGACAATCAGTTAAGTTTACTTGACCATCAGTCCACCAATCCAACTAATACTCCTTAAGAGCCAACAAGTCCAAAGACTGAGACAATCCCTACTCTGGAGAGATAACAAATGCATATCTAAATCAATTCAGCATAGATATAGAATAAATAAAAATATATACAAAGTCGTTAAATACAAGGCAGTCGAGGCAGTTGGAGAGAGTGGCAAAGGCTTCATACAGAATAATGAGCTAGAATTTATATAGCACTTTCTATGTTAGCGCTTTACAAATGTCATCTCATTTGATCCTTACAACAGCCTCGGGAGGTGGGTGCTGTGATCAGCCCCATTTTATAGATGAAGAAACTGAGGTAGACAGAGGTTAAATGACTTTCCCAGGGCTACACAACTAGTCAATGTCTATGTTTGAACTTGGGTTTTCCCAACTCCAAGTCCAACACTCTGTCCACCATCCCACCCAGCTGCCTCTATCCAAAGATGATGTCTGAGCTTCATCCTAAGGAGAGGGACCTTTAGAGGTCACAAAGGAGTGCATTCCAGATTTGGGGAACAGCCAGGACAAAAGCTTGGAACCTGGAGATGGCATGTCCTGAATGAAGAAGAGACAGAAGGCCAGCTTGACGGGATTGCAGAGTGCAGCAGGGGGAGAGATGTCCAGTGGGGATAGAAAGACAGGCTGGGACCAGCTTCTGAAGGGCTTTCAAAGCTCAACAGAAATTTCTATTTTATCCCAGACGAACTAGGAAGCCACTAGAGCTGATTGATTCACACGTTCAGATCGACACAGAAGGAAAATGACTTTGGCAACAGTGTGAGGGATGGAATGGGATGGACACAGACTTGAGGCAGCAGAACTCATTAGGAGGCTGTCTGTGTGAGATAAGAGCCTGAACTCAATGGGAGCTAGGGGAGTGGAGAGAAGAATCAGCTAGAGGGATGGTTTAAAGATCCGGCAACAGATTAAACACGTGAGGCAGCAAAGAGGAAGGCGCTGAGGATAACGCCAGAGCTGTGAACCTGGGAGACTAGAGGGATGGCGGTGCCTTCTATAGGAATAAGGAAATTTGGAGGAGGGGAGGATTTGGGGGGAAGAGAATGAGTTCAATTGCAGATATACTGAGTGAAGATGTCTATAATTGAAATGTCCAATAAGCAACTGGTGATGTGGAAATGAAAATCAGGGGAGGAGCTACTCGGTAGGCCAGTGTCCCTCACTGTGGCAGAGCCAGAAGACAAGGAGCCCAGAGTCCTTCAGCCACCAAGTGAACTTTGCTGAGTGGTCCTCGGACACACTTGATCTTGTAGCAGGAATCTAAGTCAACATTTCTGAGCCCCTGTGGTCTCCGTGGGAAATGAAGGTAGTCAGGAGAGAAACCAGCAGACCCAAAAGATGCAGAATAACTTAGGTTGAGTGTCCATAACAGTGGTCAAGTCAATCACCTCTCTGACCCTCTATCTCTTCTCTGAGAAACGAAGACAATAATCCTCCTACAGCATTCCCTCAAATGGCTGTTGACAGGGAGAGGGACTTAAACTGTAACACTTGAGGAATGTGAGCTAGTGTTAGCGTAACCGAGTTATTCCTGTTATAAATAGTTACTAGTTATGAGTGTTCCAAAGAGTTACTGAGGCCAGCTGCCCGGCATTAACTGATTCATTCTTGTTTCCTGTGCTAACGACCAAAAGGGGTCAAAACAGGAATGTTTGGTTACCATTTTACAAAAGCCACGGCTTCCATCAGTAATGTGGGCTCCGGCCGGGAGGCAAGTGATCAGTGAAGCCTGGAGTTAGACACGTGGCAGGCTGGGCACACGTGCTCGTGTAGACATTGAGCAGCAGCAGCATCTGTCAGGGGCGCCGGTGGGGAAACCTGCCAGGAAACAATAAGTCTGGGTGCCTTGTGGGTGGAGGGATGCTGCACACTCAGTCTGGTGATAGCTTCACGCGTGGGAAGTGAGTTGTCTTGGGAGCGCGAGCATAAAAGTGGGAGTGGTTTAGCTTGGATTTGTTCAGTTGTTCATAGAATCCTAGCATGTCAGAGCTGGAGGAGGGAAGAGGTGGTCCTTAGAACAGAGAGTGTCAGCTGGGAGAGCCCTTAACACAAAGAATATCAAAAGTGGATGAGATCTTAGAGCATAAAATATTAGAGCTGGAAGTGACCTTAGAACAGAAAATGCAGGAGGTGGGAAGAAAGCTTAGAATATGGAATGTCAGAGCTGGGAGGGGCTTAGGACAGGGAATGTCAGAGCTGGGAGGGAGCTTAGAACAGGGAATATCAGAGCTAGGAGGGAGCTTAGAACAGGGAATGTCAGAGCTGGGAGGGAGCTTAGAACAGGGAATGTCAGAGCTGGAAGGAGCTTAGAACAGGGAATGTCAGAGCTGGGAGGGAGCTTAGAACAGGGAATGTCAGAGCTGGAAGGAGCCTTAGAACAGGGAATGTCAGAGCTGGGAGGGAGCTTAGAACAGGGAATGTCAGAGCTGGGAGGAGCTTAGAACAGGGAATGTCAGAGCTGGGAGGAGCCTTAGAACAGAAAATGCAGGAGGTGGGAGGAAAGCTTAGAATATGGAATGTCAGAGCTCGGAGGAGCTTAGAACAGGAATGTCAGAGCTGGGAGGGCTTAGAACAGGGAATGTCAGAGCTGGGAGGGAGCTTAGAACAGGGAATGTCAGAGCTGGGAGGAGCTTAGAACAGGGAATGTCAGAGCTGGGAGGGAGCTTAGAACAGAGAATGTCAGAGCTGGGAGGGGCTTAGAACAGGGAATGTCAGAGCTAGGAGGAGCCTTAGAACAGAAAATGCAGGAGGTGGGAGAAAGCTTAGAATATGGAATGTCAGAGCTGGGAGGGAGCTTAGAACAGGGAATGTCAGAGCTGGGAGGAGCTTAGAACAGGGAATATCAGAGCTAGGAGGGAGCTTAGAACAGGAATGTCAGAGCTGGGAGGGAGCTTAGAACAGGGAATGTCAGAGCTGGGAGGAGCTTAGAACAGGGAATGTCAGAGCTGGAGAGGAGCTTAGAACAGGGAATATCAGAGCTGGGAGGAGCCTTAGAACAGAATGCAGGAGTGGGAGGAAAGCTTAGAATATGGAATGTCAGAGCTGGGAGGGGCTTAGGACAGGGAATGTCAGAGCTGGGAGGGAGCTTAGAACAGGGAATATCAGAGCTAGGAGGGAGCTTAGAACAGGGAATGTCAGAGCTGGGAGGGAGCTTAGAACAGGGAATGTCAGAGCTGGGAGGGAGCTTAGAACAGGGAATGTCAGAGCTGGGAGGAGCCTTAGAACAGGGAATATCAGAGCTGGGAGGAGCCTTAGAACAGAAATGCAGAGTGGGAGGAAAGCTTAGAATATGGAATGTCAGAGCTGGGAGGGCTTAGACAGGAATGTCAGAGCTGGAGGAGCTTAGAACAGAATGGAGAGCTGCTTAGAACAGGGAATGTCAGAGCTGGGAGGGAGCTTAGAACAGGGAATGTCAGAGCTGGGAGGAGCTTAGAACAGGAATGTCAGAGCTGGAGGAGCCTTAGAACAGGGAATGTCAGAGCTGGGAGGAGCCTTAGAACAGGGAATGTCAGAGCTGGGAGGAGCTTAGAACAGGGAATGTCAGAGCTGGGAGGAGCTTAGAACAGAATGCAGAGCTGGGAGGGCTTAGAACAGGGAATGTCAGAGCTGGGAGGGAGCTTAGAACAGGGAATGTCAGAGCTGGGAGGGAGCTTAGAACAGGGAAATCAGAGCTGGGAGGAGCTTAGAACAGGGAATGTCAGAGCTGGGAGGGAGCTTAGAACATGGAATGTCAGAGCTGGGAGGGCTAGAACAGAATGTCAGAGCTGGGAGGGGCTTAGAACAGGGAATGTCAGAGCTGGGAGGGAGCTTAGAACAGGGAATGTCAGAGCTGGGAGGGAGCTTAGAACAGGGAATGTCAGAGCTGGGAGGAGCTTAGAACAGGGAATGTCAGAGCTGGGAGGAGCCTTAGAACAGAAAATGCAGGAGGTGGGAGGAAAGCTTAGAATATGGAATGTCAGAGCTGGGAGGGAGCTTAGAACAGGGAATGTCAGAGCTGGGAGGGAGCTTAGAACAGGGAATGTCAGAGCTGGGAGGGAGCTTAGAACAGGGAATGTCAGAGCTGGGAGGAGCCTTAGAACAGGGAATGTCAGAGCTGGGAGGAGCTTAGAACAGGAATGTCAGAGCTGGGAGGGGCTTAGAACAGGGATGTCAGACCCAGGCTGGACTTAGAACTTGAGTTTTCAGAGCCAGGAGGGCCCTTCAAATATGGAATGTCAGAGGAATGAGGAACTTTAGAACATGAAATGTCATGACTAGGAACACAGATGTCCGAGCTGGGATGGCTCTAAGAACAGAGAATGTTAGAATTTAGAACGTGAATGCCACAACAGACTTCAGGACGCAGAACACCAAAGCTGGGAAGGTCCTGAGAACATGGACAGTTGGAGCTAGATGAGACTTGAATGATCTTCTAGTCCAGTTCCGCCCCCCCCCCCGTTTTACAGAAGAGGCCACTGAGGCCCAGAGATGGGCAACTACTTGGCCAAAGTCACCCAGCAGGTTCATTCTAGAACTACCCCAGACCCAAATGCAGAATCACAAGTTCACAGTACCTAGAGCTGGAAGTCCTAAATCCTAGATTTTCCATTTCTTTGGAGGAAAGCTCACTGGTTCTAAAGTCAGAGGATGGGGTTCAAATCTTGTCTCTGACATTTGTCTGCTGTGTGTCCCTGAACAAGCTACTTCCCCTCTCTGAGTCTCATTTCATTATCTGAAAAATCAGAGGCTGGAGTAGGTGGCCTATAGAACTATGATCTTATTATTCCATGTCACTTCACTTTGCTGGGACTCAGTCTCCTCATCTGTAAAATGAGGTGGCCAAACTAGATGGTCTCTGAGGTCCCTTCAAGCTCCAGAGCTCTGATCTATCCTCCTGAGATTAAGTCCAAGCACCTTATGACACTGAGCCCTCGGGAAGGGCAGTGACTTACCCACGGTTACTTATTGAGCTCACACACAAAGCTGCCACTGGATGACCATGTGACCTGTGCCAAGCTATCTAACCTCTGTGGGAATCATTTTTCCTTTCTGTGAGATGGGGATAAAATGTTCCTCAGCCATTCTCCCTCAAACCAAAGTTACACAGGGCTAGAGGACAGGAATGGCAGCTCTCATTCTGGCAATGTGTACATTTCCCATGACAATGTAGTGATTGGTCTTCAGTGGAAAGGAGACAGTTATTGGGAATGTCTCCCTAGGACTTTATAAAAACCAAGTTTCCAATTAAAAAGATGTGGTACCAGGTTTACTCATTGTAGCTCATTTCAAAGTCAGCCCAGGAAGATAAGTCAAAATGCTGAGGCCATTCGTGTCCAGCTGCCATCTTGAATGTTCTTTGGGTAGACCTAATCAAAATCCATCAGTGAAGATGTATAGGATCACAGGTCTAGAAGAGACCTTGGACAGCTGGGCCTACCCTAACCCATTTTATAGAGGAAAAGAGTGAGGACTAGGCAGGGGAGGCTCAGACTTGCCCAAAGTCACACGAGGAGTTAGTTTGTCAGATGGGAATAAGATCTAAAATGGGAAATTAATCCAGCCCCTCATTTTGAAGTAGGGAAACTGAGACTCAGAGTGGTAGAATGACCTGGTCAAGGTCACACAGGTAGCCAGTCATTGGTAAGTCATGGACTCAAAGAGACCTTAGATAGGAGTGGGGAAGTTGCGGCCTTGAGTGAGGCCTTTTGACTAAGTCCCAGTTTTACAGAACAAATCCTTTTATTAAGGGGATTTGGTCTGTGAAGTTTGGATTCAGTCAAAGAGCCTCACCCGAGGACCTAGAGAGTCACATGTGACCTCAAGGCCTCAGGTTCCCCACCCCTGTCTTAGATATATCTACTCTGTAGGTCATAGAACCTATAGCCAAATGGGACCCCGAGAGTCTTTGTGTGTGTGTTCTGGGCCCCTCTAGAATCTATGAAGTATATGGAGCCCTTCTCAAAATAATATTCTTAAATGCATAATAAAATGAAATATATAAGATTGCAAGGGAAGCCAGTTTTATCGAAATATCATTATCAAAATATTTTTTTTTAAAGTTCAAAGATTCCAGGTGAAGAACACCTAATCTGGTCCAAACCTCTCATTTTCCTGATGAGAAGAAAACTGAGACAGAGAAAATCAATGGGACTTGGTCAAAGTCACATAAGCCAGTAAACAGCAGAGCCATTGGACCATTTGCCCTGAGGTCTCCTGATTGGGACAGGAATAGAAAGAGGAAGGAAGAAGCACTTATGTAGAGTCAGGAGCTGTGCTAAGAGCTTTTTGCTTAATACTCATTTGATGCTTACAACACCCCTCAAGATAGGTGCTATTATTACCTTCATTTTACAGAAGCTAGCAGAAGTTAAGTGACTTCTCCAACGTCCTACAGCTAGTAAGAGTGGCAGGCCTAATTTGAACTCAGGTCTTCCTGACTTCGGGCCCAATGCTCTATCCTGCTATACCACACCGACTTCTATCACAAGCCCAGCAATCCCTGAGGAGGAAATACTGACTCTGGAGTCAGAGAACTTGGATTTAAATCTTACCTCTGATGCTTATCACCTGAATGATGTTGGACAAGGTACTTAACCTCTATGGGTCTCAGTTTCCTCATACAGAAAATGGGAGAGTTGGTCTGCCTGACCTTTAAAGTCCTTCCTGGGTGCCCCATCTTTGATCACATTAGCCTTTACTAAGCAATGGGTGGCCCCAGCTCTGGCCAGTAATCTTGGTGTGGTCTGGACTGATTAACAATCTTTTTTTTTTTCCTACTCTCTTCTAGCTGGTCATGCAGTATCTTTACTACGGTGGTCCAGAGTCACTTCTTATTAAGAACAATGAAATAATGGAGGTTTGTGAAGTTTCACCTGGGATTTCTGTAAGCCAGGGTTGCCACTGGGACATATTTTGCTCCCGGGAAGGAGAGACCACAGTACTGCCTTAGGAAGACAGACATCGGTATCAGGGGCAGAGAAGCAGGAACATAGCTCAAACTCAGGAAGACCAGTTTGGGGGTGGTTCCACTAGTTCAGGATTGAAGAACTGAGGGTCTGGACTTCACTAACTGATGTGAGATTCCAGTAACAGAGGAGATGTGCCAAGCAATAACTCCCTGGTGCTGCTAACAAACAGGAGCTCCCCCGTTGGGAAGGATGGATGGTTTCAGTCATTCTTTCGACAAACACCTGCTTGGTTCAAGGCATTGGATTAAGTGCTCTGAAGTATACAGAGATATATAAGATATGATCCTTGTCATTAGTCAATTAATAAGCACTTATTAAGTACCTGGAGTATACCAGGTGGTATTCCATAGCTGGGTGGTTAGTATCAAAAGACAAAAGTAAAACATTCTCACACTCGAGGTGTTACATTCGATTAGAGGATACAACATGCTTGTTTAAGTACATAAAAATAGATGCAAGGTCATTTTAGGGTGAAGGTAAGGAGCTTATAATTATGGGGTGACCTCTCTTAAGAGAATGACTACGTTCCCACATGGGGTCCAGAGACATTTGGAGAATGCTTCCTCCCATATACCCTTAAATATATAGATAGATAGATAGGTAGATAGATGTGTATATATGTATGCGTGTATGTATATATGGATGTCTATGTATATATGCATGTATACACATATGTGTATGTACATATACACATGCATGTGTATACCTGTGTATATGTATGCACATGTGCATGTATGCATGTGGCATCTAGATGGCCCGGTGGATGTATGTGTATGTGTATGTGTATGTGTATGTGTATGTGTATGTGTGTGTATATGTGTATGTATATGTTGGGGTGTACAGGAAGAAGCTTTCTTCAAATAAGTGTATCTCTGGACTCCATGTGAGGACACAGATGTTTTCTTAAGAGAGGTTCCCCCCACATGTATGTATATATGTATTTATGTATACATATATGTATATGTATATTATATATTACCTAAACTATATTATATATGACAGTTTGGCTGTATATTATATATATCTATAGATATATACATGTACATATATACACACAAACACACATGCACAAACACACACATGCATGTACATACTATATACGTGTGTGTGTGTGTGGATAGGTGTATGTGGATAGATAGATAGATAGATAGTAGAGTAGAGGTGTCAAACTCATGGCTGTGACCAGCAAATCTCCCAAGTGGAGCCTGAACCAGGTTAAAATGTAATTGAGAAATGTTTAACAAAATAAATAAAAACATAATACAATGTAGATAATGTTCATTTGTGTTTTTCTGAGTGACTATGCAGCCCGCAGGGGTCCGCTTCTTTCTGAGTTTGACCTCGCTGGTGTACAGAAATAGCCAGAATATAAGCCAGTGTGTGAAAAGCACGAATCAATAAGAGGAGTTCAAAAGAGGAGGACATAAGTGCATCCTGGTGGTTCAAGGCAGGCTTCATGGAGGAGTGAGCCTTTGAACTGGGTGGAATGTCAAGATTAAGGGATTCGGACTTTGGTTGGTAGACAGTAAGGGGCCATTGAAGGTTTCTGAGTACTGGAATGAGAAGATCAAAGCATTGCCTTGGTGATGTTTTTAGGATGAATTAGAGGAGAGAGGAAGAAAGGAGGTGGGTAGACCCGTCAGGAGGCTGTGGAAATAGTTGAAGTGGGAGCTGATAAGAGCCTGGACTAGGATGGGAGCTACAAGAGAAGGGAGGAAATGGGTGCTTCGAGGAAAGACTCAACAGATGGGGCTGATTAGGTGTGAGCAGTGAGGGAGAGGGAAGAATCAGAGGTGACACTGAGGTTTCTTTTATATACGTTGAGAGTCAGTCCCATTCAAGGCAGCGTGACTGACAGCCTCCCTTCGGGTGTGGTTTTTTTTATTATTATTTTAGCTTCTGTCTGCTGCCAAGTTTTTCCAGCTCGAAGCTTTGCAGAGGCATTGTGAGATCATCTGTGCAAAAGGGATCAACGCAGACAACTGTGTGGATATATACAACCATGCCAAGGTAATGCCCACCGCCCCTTTCCCGGCGCAAAGATCATGGACAAAGGGGGAGTCTGGTTTGTGCAAACACACTGGCACTGTGTCTGGGTCATCTCCTCGCCAGACTTAGATGGCCCAGAGAGGGATGTCCTATCCTCATGACGTCCATGTCATCACACCTGTTCTTGTCCCTGGGGCAGAGAAAAGGCAACCCATGGCCTAGAGCAGAGGTGTCAGACATGGGCACGGTTTAGGGGCCCTCGGTTTGACATCGCTGCCCTAGAAAGTTGCCTCTTGGCCCCCATCGTTAAGGTGTTGAGGGGAAGGTAGGAAATGAGGAAACTGGAGCCTGATGGGGGCAGGAGGCAGAGGTGGTCACAGCATGGCAGGACAGACCAGCAGAGTGCCATGAGGCAAGGAGGGAGGTGGAAGCAGCGGCTGCTGCAGGCAGGGGCCTCCCTCCACCACCCCTGGGGAGGAAGTCCTTGGGACAAAGCCCCAACTGCCCTGTGTAAAAGCCCTGGGCACAGCGTCTGACACATAGTGGGTGCTACATAAATCCTTATTCCCTTCCCTACCTAGGGCCCTTGGCACATAGTAGGCTCTTCATGGATGCTTGTTGATTGAATTCCAGGAAGGAGAGGAGGGCCATCCCGCCCCCTTCCTAGATCCCTGCTGGTTGCTAGCTGTGGACCTTAATCATCCCTTAACATCTCTGGGCTTCCACGTCTACCTCTGTAAAATGAGGTGGTTTGACTAGATGATCTCTGCAGTGTCTTACAGTTCTGAATTTGTGATCCTCTAAGGCAGACCACTCTCCATGATGTGACTTCTCTCTGGGCCTCAGTTTCCTCCTCTGTAAAATGAGGGAGTTGGTCTGAGTGGCCTCCAGGGGACCCTTCCTGCTCTAGGTCTGTGACCCTCTAGTCCTACGATCCACTTTTAGACTTGTCTGCTGCTCCTTCATTCCCCCACCCCGAACCAGGCTGAACCCCCAGTCGGCCAGAAGCCAACCGCCTGGGACCCTCAGTGAACCAGGGGCTCATGGAATTAACTAACCAAAGGCCAGAGAAAGCTTTTGTGAGCAGCCTCTCCACCCTGTAGCTGAGACCTGGGGGGAGGATGGTTTCATTTTTGTCTGCGTTCAGCTCACATGACAATTCAGCAGGCTGATAACCAACTTAAAAAACACTCTAGCTGTTCTTCCAGGCCACCCCCCCCACACACACACCCCCTATCTGCCCATCTATCTATCACCTGTCTTTCTATTTTTCCATTTCTTTCTGGTTTTTAATTGGCCTCTTTTCTTTTTTCTTTCCTTCCTTCCTTCCTTCCTTTCTTCCTTCCTTCCTTTCTTTCTTTTTTCTTCCTTCCTTCCTTCCTTCCTTCCTTCCTTCCTTTCTTTCTTTCTTTCTTTCTTTCTTTCTTTCTTTCTTTCTTTCTTTCTTTCTTTCTTTCTTTCTTTCTTTCTTTCTTTCTTTCTTTCTCTTCCTCCCTCCCTTTCTTCCTTCCTTTCTTGTCTGTCTTTTAACATACATTTATAAAGGATATTCTAAATGCCAAGAAGATCAGGATTAGAAGGCCTTGAAAGAGGATGATAATCTGGAGCTAAGACTTTTGGGACACTCTTTATTTGATCTGGGAGGTAACAGGGAACCACTGGAATTTAATGAGTACATGGGTGACATGATCAGACCTGTGCTTTGGGAAGATCACCCTGACAGCCAAATAGAGGATGGGCTGCAGTGGGGAGAGCCTCGAAGCAGGGAAACCAGTTGGTGGCTATGGCCCCAGCCCAGGCACACACTCTATCTCTCTCTGTCCCTCTCTCTTTCTGTGTCTCTGTCTCTGTGTGTGTGTGTGTGTGTGTGTGTGTGTGTGTGTGTATGTGTCTGTCTGTCTGTCTCTCTCTGTCTCTCTCTGTGTCTCTGTCTGTCTGTCTGTCTCTCTCTCTGTGTCTCTGTCTGTCTGTCTCTCTCTCCCTCTGTCTCTCTCTCCTTCAAAGCCAAATCCTATAGAGTTTTCAGTGGAAAATCCCTCCCCTTTACATAGTTCCCAAAGCAGCAGGATATTTTGGACAAAACGTTTCTTTAACTACAACCCAACGAGATTGATAGTGGAGCTCTTATCATCCCCATTTTACAGAGAAGGAAATTGAGGCTGAGAAGTATAGTGAGGCAGAGTTAGCACTTTCCACGTGGAAAAGCTGTCATTCTCTTCTCTCCCATGGATCCTCCCCCCCATCAATACTCCCCCACCAGCCCACAATCTAGCTTCATATGGATTCCATTACTGGCAGATGGTACTCCAAGTGGAGAATCATTTAATAAGGACTACGGGATATGGGAGGGAAACCAGCCCTTGGCCTTGAACCTTAGGAAATATGAGAAGGCAGATACAAACAGCCACATTCCAAATGCCAAAAAGGACCCTGACAATATTAAATCTAACCTTTTGTGACAACTTTCCCTATAGGAAGAGGCCAACAATGAGTTTTATTTTAGCAATCCTGATTTTCCAGCAAAGCTGGAATTAGGAAGGATGCATCTTTCAACATGTTTTCTTTATTTACGAAAGAGGAGGGGTGTGTTGGTAAATGTTTAACAACCAGCTCTCTAGAAAGGGGGTAGGGAAGATATGTGCATGACACACTTTTAGGTTTAACTTGCATTATTAACATTTTCTCCATCACTTTCTTAAGTCTAGACAATGAACAAAACAATGCTTTGAGCCCTGATTTGCTGTGTGTACTGATTTCCATGGTGGAAATAAATGCTCACGCAGAAAATTTGACTGTTGGCTCTCTGGTACAAGCTACCTCTAGCACACTCCTGCAAAAAAAGCAAGCAAAGGGTTTTTTATTATATAAATAAATAAATATATATATATATATATACATATATATATATATTATATATATATATATATATATATGTATATATATATATATATATTTTTTTTCCCTAGGCAATAGAATTAAGTGCCTTGCCCCGGGTCACACAACTAGTAAGTGTCAAGTGTCTGAGGCCAGGTTTGAACTCAGGTCCTTCTGACTGTAGGGCTGGTGCTCTATCCACTGCACCACCTAGCTGCCCCAGAAAGCAAACATTTTTATATCAAACGGAGTAAGCCAGAGGTCAGGAATAGCAGGAGAGGGAGAAGGGGTAGAATGGCCAGGATCCCATTAATAATCATAATGATAGCTAGCATTTCTATAGGATCCTTCACAGGCAGCTAGGTGGCACCATAGAGCACAGAGCCCTGGGCTTAGAATCAGCATACTCCTTTTCCTGAGTTCAAATCCCGCCTCATATACTTACTAGCTGTGTGACCTTGGGCAAGTCACTTTACCCTGTTTGTCTCAGTTTCCTCATCTGTCAAATGAGTGGAGAAGGAAATGGCAAACCAGTCCAGTATTTCTGCCAAGAAAACCCCAAATGGGGTCACAAAGAAATGGCACAACAAAACATAGGATCTTTTACTAATAACATAATAATAGAGCATCTTATGGTTTCTGAAGCACTTGACAAATGCTTTCTTATTTAATTATAACAACAACCTTGGCAGGTAGGTGCTGCTCTTGTCCCCATTTTACAGTTGAGGAAACTGAGGCAGAGAGAGGTGAATTGAGCTAGCAAGTAACTTATATCTTCCTGACTCCAGGCCCAGCTCTCTATACACTGAGCCACCTAGCAGTAAGGTCAGGGCAGACTCAGAGAATCCAGCGGATAAAAAAGGGTCAAGGAAAGGGGGTCAAGAAGTGATCAGGCAAGGGCAGCTAGGTGGCACAGTGGATAGGATAGAGCACCGGCCCTGAAGTCAGAAGGACCTGAGTTCAAATCCGGCCTCAGACACTTACTAGCTGTGTGACCCTGGGCAAGTCACTTAACCCCAGTTGCCTAAAAAAAAAAAAGAAAGAAAAAAGAAGTGATGAGGCAACAGGAGATATATGACATAATGGAGAGAATTCTGGATTTATAGTCAGAGGTGGTTGTTGTTTTTCAGTCATGTCTGGCTCTTTGTGACCCCTTTTGGGCATTTCTTGGCAAAGATACTAGAGCGGTTTGCAATTTCCTTCTCCAGCTCATTTTACAGATAAGGAAACTGAGGCAAACAGGGTTCAGTGACTTGCCCAGGGTCACACAGCTAGGGAGAGTCTGAGGCTGGATTTGAACCCAGGTCTTCTAGACTCCAGGCATGGTGCTTCAGCCGCCACACCCCCTCGCTGCCCTATAGTCAGCGCCTGCGTTCAAATCCTGGCTCTGTAGCTTTGTAATTGTTGGGCTGGAGAAAGGACTGGACTAGATAGTCTCTCAAGTTCCTTCTCTCTCTGATATTCTCTGTGATTCTATGGATCTCGCCAGGTGTCGTGAAAGGTGCTCTAGGCTGGGTGTCAAGGGATCTGGGTTCAAATTCTGCCTCCACCACTAGCTAGGTCATTTCTCCTCTCTCAGCCTGGCTTCTCTTACCTGCACCGCAAAGGGCTTGCCTTTAGCTTGGCTCTGGGGTCCCTTCTACCTCCATAGTTTTGTGAGTCTGTAAGGGCCCAATCTCCTCTTGGGCAGGAGGAGTTAATGGTCGTACTAATTCATTCAAGCCATTAGGACACCACGGAGCACCTTTCCAGTTTTATGTCCTAAATGACACGTCCTTTTTGCTTGCAGATGGCTGGCTCAGTGGGTTACAGCTCTGTGCTAATGAGGCCAAGGTCATGGGCATGCTTCCAGTGGACGCCACGAAGCAATACACTTTTCCTTTTTTAAACAAATTTGTCATTAATGATTTCTTCTCTCTTGGATCATTGTCGTATCTCAGTGTTTCCTCCCCACCTTTGCCCTCCCTGCCCTCTCCTCATCTGCCCAGGAGAGGAGGATGCCCCACTGAAACAGGGAAGTATAGCTTAGCAAAGTAAATGAACATGCTGCCCAGGCTGGAAAATACATACCTCATTTCCACCACATTTCTGCCAAGAAGAGAGCTAATAGCATCCTGCACATAGGGTTGGAAAGGACCTTAGAAGCCACAGATGAGGAAACTGAGACCCAGAGAGAAATACCTTGTCCAAGGTCATACAGAGATGATCACTGGATGAATTAAGAGCTAGCAGGTACCTTGGAGACCATCTAGCCTGATGCCCGGGGTTAGGCTCGATGGCCTCCAGGCCTCATCCAGACCCAGATTTTGGATCTAGGCTCCTCTAGAACCACAGCTGGCCACCAATCAGAGCTTGGATGTCTCTCGGTGTGATTTTCCTTCCTCTGTTATTCTCCTGCCTTCTTTACTCTGCATCAGTTCATACAAATCTTCCCGAGTTTCTCCGACTTCTCCATCTCTCCGCTGTCCCTGTCATGCCTTCCAGGGAAGGTCACATTCCCTTCGCACTCCACAGTGTGATCAGTTATTCCCCCAGCCAGTGGGCACCTACGCGGCTTCTAATTCTATCCCAGCCCAGACAGCAGAGCTCAGTGTCCTCAATCCGCTCTCAGCAGATCCCTTCCCCAAATACAGCCTCATCGGATCCATTTGTGACACAGTGGCGGGGGCGGGGGTCAGGATCCCCCACTGGGGGTTGGGATCTCAGATCTGCAGCTGGAAGAAGCCTCAGAGAACCATCTGATTCAGCCCCCTCATTTTACAGATGAGGAAACTGAGGCCAGGAAAGGGAAGTGCCTTCCCCAAAGGCACGCAGATAACACTAGGCAGAGCCAGGATTGAGCCCAGCTCCTCTGATGACAAATCCAATACTCTTTCCTCGGTACTGTGCTGTCTCCAAGTCATTGTTCTAAAGTTCTGGATGCTAATCTGTAATCAAGTAATCAGCAAACACTTAGTAAGTGCCTACTGTGTGTCAGGTACAGAGCTGGGTGAAAGCGAGCCTGGCCTTGTCCTCAGGGGGCTTCCATTCTACTCTCCAAGGAAGCACTGCCTACTCTCATCTCCCTCCCAAGCCCAACTACACAGGCTTTGGCCGTCCTGCATTCGAAGTAAGGGGAGAGGCGCTGGACGTTTACTGTTTCAACACAGGTGTGGGCCACCTCTGCATATACACAGGCGGCACACTAAAGCGGATGAGTAGAGAGCTGGTATGGTGAGAATAAGAAAGAGGACCCAGGTTCAAATCCTACCTTTGTGACCTTGGGCAAGTCCCTTTGCTTCCCTTGGCCCTCAGTTTCCTCATCTGTAGGGTTGGACTAGAGGGTCCCCGAGGTCCCTTCCAGATCCAGGATTGTGTTTCTATAAATCCCTTCCCCTCACCGGGCTTCAGTTTCCTCGTCTGTAAAAGATAGTCCCCCAGGTCCCTCATGCCTTGGCAGGTACAAGAGCCACGGTCACCATCTTCTCTTCCTCTTTCTCCAGTTCCTGGGCGTCACGGAGCTCTCCACCTACTGCGAAGGCTACTTCCTTAAGAACATGATGGTGCTCATTGAGAATGAGGCCTTCAAGCAGCTTTTGTACGATAAGAACGGAGACGCGGGTCAGGATGTGCTCCAGGACTTGCAGAGGACGTTGGCAATCAGGATACAATCCATTCACTTATCCTCTTCCAAAGGCTCTATTGTATAAACCCCCGAGACAAGAGGGCACTCCAGTGGGACCTCACAAGTTCTCTGGCTGCGTCAGCTTCCAACAAATATACACAATTCCAACCGGCACGTTCTTGTCTGGACCCAGGAGCTGTCTCTGCTGCCCTGGCTCCTCCTGGCTCAGTGACTGTGTACAGGTCACGTACATTCCTGACCCCAAGGAGATCCTGCTGATCACCGAGTAGTGACTGGGTCCTGCTTTGGAAATCCAGTGAGGGGACCACAGAGCTGTGACCCCACCTTGAGCATCCCTTGAAGCACGCCCATTGGTGCTGGGGACCACAGATGGAAAGACACCCAGCTAGCGATGGTTGGGCCTCCCAATGCCAGAAGGAGCACGGTCCAGTACCCACCCCTAAGAGCATCCCTGTATGCGCTTCAGAGACTGGTGGTTGCAGGGTTAGAGGGATTCCATCATGCCTAAGAAATGGTTGCTGCAATTGTTAGGAACAGTCTTGGCAAATTTTTAGGGGTGGGGACTTTTTAAAAAATATGTTCATAAAAAAACAAATGAGGTAGCCTTGCAGTTTAAAAATATATTTCTAAAAAGCTTAAAAGTTCCTTTTCAACAGCATTGTGTATAAGGATCCAAGTTTGGGATTTTTCCTTTTTTTTTTTTAAAGGTCAAAGGTACTCCCCTGTGTCAGTGCAAAAGACGAGATTTCCACCGGTGTTGTTCATCACCTGGTTTAATCTTGCCTCGCCAACCACAGTGACACACAAGAGGCACACTGCCAACAATCGCCTCCAGTTCCGCCACTGAAGAAACAATCCTGCATGCTAATTGTTATTTGGGGTCCAAACAAAGGAGCAACTTTTCCTCCTGCCCGCCAAAGCCTTTGCATGGGGCTGGCCCTGGGCCACATGATATCCACGCTATGTAGTTGCCAAGGATTCCACGGGACCATGTCATCTCTCGCTCCACCGCCATTTTGTGAAGCCAGTGCTGCCCGTTTCCTTTCCTGGTGGAGCATCATAATGCAGTGGCTCCCATGGGATCACATTGGTAGAAACTGCATTTTGAGGGAGGCCAAGGGTGGGTTGGGGGTGGGAAGGGGCTTGGGGGAGGGAGGGAGAACATAAGAGCTTTTAGCATTTATCCCAAGGCTCTCTTTTCTTCTGGTAAGATATCAGTACTTTGCTACCGACCAGAGTGTGGCTATGTTAGACTATTTGTTATGACTAAATATGTAATATAGAATGATTCCCCACTACATCCCAAGAATGGACAGTCTAGGGCTCTCAATCATGGACATTTACTGCCGAGCCTCGGTTTCCTTTGCAAGTCAGTAGCTAGCAAGAGAGATGGGTGAGGGGCCATGGTGACTTCTTAGTACCTTTCACACATCCTTGTTTTGAAATATCCATGACCGCAGCAAAGACTCTTCACCATTCGGGGCGACATAACGATATCACCTTCCTTCTCTCCTAGCATGCCTCTTCAGAAATTACCACCCGTCCCCCAGAATCTCTGTTTCAGAAAAGCTTCCCCATCCCTTTGTAGCACGAGATAATTTTTTGGTCCGTTGCTCAGAATGTTTGATGTCAGTGGCCGCTTCTCGTTTCCACCTCCTGGCATGCCCAGGCCGCCTACTCCCACTGCCAGGTATTATCCGCCCATCAGCTAGGAATCAATTTGTTGACATCAGTGTGTCAATCCTCTCTTACGCTTGGTCATTTGGAAAGCCTTTCAGGTTCCCTCTGAGCAAAAAGGGGAGAACTAAAATTACTTCCTGCCCACCCGGGTAAAGGTCCACAGCATGTGATCTGGCAGGAAGCCTCCCGCCCCGTCTGTCCGTGTCCTCAAAGACGCTGTCTGAGATGTACCGCCCCTGGTGACTCCCTGTCCTTGAATGTTAAACGCTAGAGCAGAGCAGCCTGGCCTTGGCTTGTGTGATGGCGACCCTCCTCCCCGCCCCCCAATGGTGTTTATGTTCAACCTTGGTGTGCTTTCTCTGTCATTAAAGCAAACATGATTTTTCCATGCTGTGATCGTTTGTATGGGATGCAGGTAACCCAAGGGGCAACTCCAAGGAAGGCCTTCTCTTGACACGGACTTGAAAACCCTCCCTTGAAAATAAAAATGGTGTCCCTTAAAGATTTGTGGGAGGTGAACATGGATATAAAAGACGGAGAGGAAGCAAAGCCTTCCTCCGCTACTCAGGTGCCAGGCTTTCAGATACTCCCCCGTCCACTCTCATCCTATCTAGTCCTCAGTCAAGTCAGCGAACGCTGATGAAGCATTTACGCTGGGTTAAGCCCCGAGGATTCAAAGAGAGGTAAAAAAAAAAATAGTCCGTGCCACCAAAGGGCTCACATGGGGGACGCAACATCCTAATACTTATGTATAGGCAAGACCTATTCAGAGTAAACGGGCGGTGAGCCGAGAGGGAGAGCCCTGGTCTGGGTGGGTGGGCCAGTCAAGGCCTCCTGCAGAAGGTGGGATTGGAGCGAGGAGGCAGAGGTGAGGAGAGAAAGCGTTCCAGGCAGAAGGGGAGACATCAAGGAAAAGGGAGAGTTGTTGAGGAACAGTGAGAAATCCAGAGTCCCCGGAACGCAGACTACGTGGAGAAGAGTATGAAGTGTGAGGAGACCGGACAGGTAGGAAGGGCTCAAGAGTCAAGCGGAGGGTTTTATACACGGTGTCCCATACGAGCTTAAAACTATACGAATATTTTTGGGACGCTACGTTTGATCTGGTAGGCAAAAAGGAACCACCGGAATTTAATAAGTACGGGGGTGACATGATCACACCTGCCCTTTCGGAAGATCACTCTGACAGCCGAATAGAGGATGGGCTGCCGCGGGGAGAGCCTCGAGGCAGGGAAACCAGCCGGCGGTTACAGGATCCAGGCACGGCATGATGAGGAAACCCTACCGATGAATCAATGCAAGTGTAGAGCCTGGGGCTGGGCGCATACTGGGGATACAATAAAGCCGCCTTCGAGTAGCTTGCATTTTTAAAGGGGGAGAAAGCACATACAGGGATAGGTGGCCAGGCAAAGGAGCTTTAGGTTGGGGAGTCATGGGGAAGTACGGGGCATTACTGACCCACCTTTCCAGTAACAGATGGCCATAATGATTTGATTACATAATCAACCGATCTGCAAGCAGTGATTAGGAGCTTCCTGCTAAGTGCTAGGGAAATACTCCCCCCCCCAAAAAAAATACAAAAAGCAAAAGTCTGCCTTGCCTTCAAAGAGCTACAGAAGAAATAAGCATCTGCCAAAGAGAAAGTCCATTAGCTACGGCAGTATTGAAGAGGATAGCTTCTTAATAAAGACAAGGCACATTTTCAGATACTCTTTTAACAGTTAGGTCCAGTGAAATTTCCAAGTGGCTCTATGATGCATCTTAGCAATGACAGTCCAAGGTCACACAGGAAGGAGCCAAGATTCCACCTCCGATCCTCTACTTGAGCACATTTTCCAGCTTGGCCCCACACCACCCAACAGTTCACCATGGCAGAGCCCAATTCAAACTCAGCGCCCGTGCCTCCTGATCCAAGGCTCCTGTAGCTGTAACCTAGCAGCCCCTCCATCATCGACCCCAGGAGTCTAGGAGCCATGAGCCTTGTGTCTCCCCCAGCCTCTGCTGGTCCTCCCATGAAGGGGGACAGGTGAGCAGAGGCATGCCAAGCAGAACTGAGCTTATCAAAGAAAGGCAGGCATGTGGAGATGGTAGATGCGGGCCCTTTGGGAGCATGCCAACTGCTCTCAGAGGAAGGGCTCTAGGGAAACACTGAAGAGCCAGCATCAGCTTCTTCTCCAGAAGCTGCTAAAGCAGCCACATGTCCTGGGGCCAGAACATTCTAGGCTGGGCCCCAGGAAAAACCTAGAGGTGTGATTTATTTTTCATAGTGAATTTCTCTACAGAAGCCTCTGGGCCAGTGGGCTGCTTTGTGTATTCCTCAAAGATAAATTGTCAATCACTTCCACGTGGGGGGGGAGGGATGGAGGGAGTATAGACGGGACACATTTAAGCCTTTTGATTCTAAGACTGTTTCTCCAAGCCTAAATCACAAGTTCTATAATCTGTGTGACAGGGCCCCCTAGTGTCTTGGGCTAACCCTGATCCCCCATTATGTTCCAATTCATTTTTAATTAATTCTAACTGAATTCAAGAAACATCAATTGGACAACTACTGTGTGCAAGGCAGAGAGTCAGCCTGGCATGACAGATAGAGGGCCAGCCTTGGAGTGAGGAGCCAGAGTGGCAGTGGGCAGAGCTGGCTTTAGAGGGGAGACTCAGGTTTGAATCTTGGCCCTGATGCTTGGTACTGGGGCGCCCTTGAGCAAGGCAGACCACTTCTCTGGGCCTCAGCTGCCTCATCTACCAAACGATGGCCTGCAAGGTCCCTTCCGATGCTGAATCTATGACCTGATGACACGAGAAGACCTTGGCTCCACATTCTAGCTTGATAACCTTGGGGTTGGCCAGCTCTAGATCTGTGCTCCTACAACCATAGTTCTGATTCTGACCTTGCTACCCATCTGATTCTGGGCAGGTCACTTCATCTCACTGGGCCTCAGTTTCCTTCTTTGTCCAGTGAGGGGGCCCAGACTCAATGCCCACTGAGGTCCCTTCCAATTCTAAGTCTACGGCCCCAGGACCCAAAGAGACCTTGATTCGATTTCATGTATTCTAGCTTCATAACCTTGGAGCTAGGGTAGATAGATACCCTATCTATCAACCACAGAGCCACTGAAGAGCATTTGCCAAACATCCCCGTCTGACACAAAGTGGAAAGTTCCACCATCGTTCCATCTGTGCCTTGGAACAAGTACATTCGGTTCTCCACTCCAAACCCCCTCCCTCCCTAGGAACCCAGACTGTCAAAAATCTTTTCTGGGAAACAGGATGGAGAATCACTGACAGCTTTCCAAGCTGCCCCCCAGGGCCAAGGCAGCATGTGCCTTAGAAGCCAACCAGTCCCAAGCAGAAGCGGCTGTGAAGGCCTCGCTTGTCAAACCTTAAAAATAATAATAATAACAGAGTCAATTTTAAACTTCCTGCAGAAAAAAAAGGAAAGCAAACCCGCCCTGCAATCATACGGAATGGGATCTCTCATTACTGAACAGGCAGTCATATTATTAGCATCCCCAGGAAGGACAGACCTCTAAGTTTAGCTCTGGATTTGAAAAGTCAATCAGCCAGCATGAATAGAGAATTAGCAGAGGTGCCTGAGGCTGTTTATTTGGAAACTGTTTACCTTCCATTGGTTCCTAGTTTATGGAAGAGATGGAAAGAGCTGAGCCAATGGAAAGAGGTTAGGATGGAGAGTCAGAGGACCTGGGTTGGGAATCTCAATTCAGCTACTTTCTACCTGGGTGACTTTGGGCAAATCACTGAACCTCTCTGGGCTCAGTTTTCTCATCTGTTAAATGGACTCAAAAGCCTCTCCTATTCCTTCCAGCTTTAAATGCATGATTCAATAATCTTATCTGTATGACCTTGGGCAAGTGACTTCTTATCTCCAGGCTTCAGTTTCTTCATTTGTCAAGGGAAGGGGCTAGACTCCAGAACCTCAGAGACTCCTTCTAGCTCTGAATCCATAATCCGATTCATCCAGAGGTTCTTAACCTTGTTTTTGTGCCATGGAGCCCTCTGGCATTTAGCCTGTAAACCTACAGACCCCTTCTCAGAACTGTGTTTTCAAATGCTTAAAATACATAGGATTACAAAGGAAACCAAATATGGTGGAAATCAAGGCATATTTTTCCCCATCCAAGATCATAGACCCCATGAAATCAGCTATGGGCCCAGGATGAGAATTCCTGTTTTAATCAGTGAGTATTAACCAAGCACCTACCACGTGCCCGGTTCTGGGCTAGGTGCTAGAGGTCCAGATACAAAATGAAACAATCTCAAGGAGCTTCTAGCACCTTCTCTCCCTACAACCAATTCAGCCAACATTAATGAACCACCCTCTATGTGCCAGTGCCACAGTAGGCACCATAATGACTCTAGAACTTCCATTGTGCCTCGCGTCCCAAGGGTACATAGACTAAAGGTGGAAGTAGAAAAGGCGGCAG